AACCTGAAACCCCCGGAACTTCGGTTGATGATCTAAATCCTGCATGATCCACGATAAGGAATATACCATAATTTCCATATATTCCTTCTTATGGGTCATGCAGGATTTTTTTCATCAACCGGAAACCCCAAGCCTAACTCCGAGCCACAAAACCCGAAGCCTGCAACTTGAAGCCTCACAACCCTAAACCCTCTGAACCCCGGGCCCTCTACCAGGACCCCCCCCAGGTACCCTTTTAAGGGCCCTGGAATTGCTCATTAAGAGATAATCAGGGGCTACAATAAGGGTAGTGGGGGGGGGTCTAGGTAAGTCCCGAAACCTAAAACTCGAAATCCTAAACCCCTAAGTCCGAAGCCCTAAACCTAAGACCCCAAATCCAACCCTTCAAAGCCTACTTGGAGGATCATGGGGCTTAGTAAGTAAGGTTATAAGTGCCCTAATTGGAGTTATAAGTATAGTTGCCTTATTTATAGAGTCCCTTGATCCTTCCTAAATCCCTATAGATCCCCTACAGAACCCTTTAAAAGGAGCCCCTTACGGAACCCTGTAAAGAACCTTTAAATCCTAAACCCTAAACCCCTTGGCACCTTATTCAGAGCCCTATACTAGAACCTTATAAAACGAACCCTAAACCCTAAACCCTAAACCCAACCCCTACTTATATAGTACCTTTCAAGGAACCCTAAGCCCGAAGCCCCAAAGAGAACGAAGGCCCTGCCCCGCAATATCGGGCCGCAGCTGCAGGCCCTGCAGGGATTTAGGGGGTTTAGGGGTTTAGGTGTTTAGGGGTTTAGGGTTTAGGGGTTTAGGGTTTAGGGTTTAGGGATTTAGGGTTTAGGATTTAGGGTAGTTTCAGCACAGCAAACTCAAAAAGTTGGAAACCTAATTAAGGACAAAGAGTGCTGGGATTCCCTATACTTTACTCTTAGGGATTGAGGCTATCGGTTTTCCAACTTTTTGGCTTCTACTGTAAGTCTGAACCCTCAGGCTCGAAGGGCTCGCATAAGGTTCTCGGGCCTAAAGACCCGATTACGAGGCTTTTCGGGTGGGTTGTGTTGAGCATCAGGGTGTAAGAAAAGCGTTCTAGAATAATGCGGTGGCTGATATTGAGTCTAGGGTTTAGGGTCTCGGGTTTAGCTTCAGCGTTTGCATCAGGGTTCCTTCATGGTGAGGGTTCTTAGAAGCAACAATAACCCAACCACTCCCCTATGCCTCCAGGGACCTTATTATGGGGCCCTTAAGGGGTCTAGGGCCCTAACTATGGGGTGCTTGGAGGGATAGGGTAATATTAAGAAGAAAACGAAGGAGAAGAATAATAATGGCCATTATATTGAGTTTAGATTGTTGCAGTCAGAGCCAAGTGTCCAGTTGATAGTTGCGCTTCCTATCAGTTTATGTCAAACCCTGAACCCTCGGCTGAAACCCTAAACCCTAGCCTAGACATTCCAAGTACCCAAATAGTAACGTTTCAGGCCAGGTCCCAAATACTGTACTCTGAATTGGGAGTTAGGATTAAGGTGACCCTCGGGGATAAAGAGCCTCTCAATAAGGTCCTTTGTAAGAGAGCCAGAAGTAGGGTTCGCAAGGGGTACCCTTTAAGGGGTCTCCCTCATCATGCTACCCATGAACGGAGTGTGGAACCTAACACCCTACTTTTTGGGCACTTAGGCCCTAAACCCTAAACCCTAAACCCTGAAAAGCCCTCACGGGTTCCTTCAACCCTAAATCCCCCGAGGGTTTAGGGTGTAGGGCCTCAGGGGTTCCTTACCTTTAAAGGGATCCTTAAAGGGTTCCTTAAAGGGATCTATAAGGGATCTATAAAGGGTTCAGGGTCTAGAGTTTCCGAAAATTAGGGGTACACCGTTCATGGTATGTTTTGCACCGGATCGTAGAGACTCCGAAGACCCTTAAACAAGGAATACACCTTAAGTTATAGTGGGATCCTTAACGGGTTGTTTTAGAGGGATCTAAAAGTGTTCTATAAGGGAAGGAAGCAATATACCTTACATTCAAATAACAGAATCCCTCGTATGATGTAAGGTACATTCCTCAATTAAGGGGTTTTGGAGTCTCTGGGCGACTCTATAGTAATTAATGCACCTCTATTAAACCATAAAGCCCTAAGCCCTTTTTGAGCCACCTCTGGGCAGGTTTGCCACTGGTTCCGCGCATAAGGCAAGCGGCAACCTTCCTGCACTTCGTTGTTTCTGTGTGTCAATGATCTCCAGCTAAAGATCACGAAAATGTGATGTTTCAGCATAATATGCTTTTGGTAGCAGTAAGAGTCTATAGAAACGAAAAGAGGACACAGAAGGCATCCGTCGCGTGCAAGTTGCAGAGAGTCCACGGCTGCTAAGGAAGAGCGGCTGTCTGCCGTGGACGACAGCAGAAAGGTGGGACTGAAGACTGTGTAAAGAGCACATAGCCTCACAGAACTCCGGTGCATGCGCTGATTCCAGTTCTAGTCAGGCAAACTACGAGGACATCCTGCAGAGAATTGAGCTGAAGGCCAGCAACTTTAGTGTTCTTAGGAACTACTTCTGATTTTGCTAGCACCACCACCACGACGACTACCAGTACTACCATTACTACCACTGCTATTACTACTACTACTACTACCACCACCACCACTACCACCACTACCACCACTACTACTACTACTACTACTACCACTACTACCACTACTACTACTACTACTACTACTACTACTACTACTACTACTACTACTACTACTACTACTACTACTACTACTACTACTACTACTGCTACTAGTACTACTGCTACTACTACTACTCCTCTTTCTCCTACCCTTGCCACTGCTACTGTTACACGCACTCGAGGCAGACTCCTCTGAGATGCGGAAGTCTCTGGCTGCGAAATCGGACGTGGGCCACACGCATGACCGACCCTCTGATGCAGTCGGAGTTCAGAGTTGAGGGTTTAAGGTTTAGGGTTGCACTTGGTGGAGATTCTCAGTTGAGAGTAAGGGTTACAGTTGGTGGTGATTTAGAGTTGAGGCTCTAAGTTTTAGGGTTGCAGTTGGTGGTGATTTTCAGTTGAGGGTTTATAAGGCTTAGGGTTGCAGTTGGTGTTACAGTTTCAGTTGAGGGTTTAAGGTTTAGGGTCACAGTTGGCGGTGATTTTCAGTTGAGGGTTTATAAGGCAGTTGGTGGTGATTTAGAGTTGAGGGTTTGAGGTTTAGGGTTACGTTGAGGGTTTGATGAAGGTTTAGGGTTGCAGTTGGTGGTGACTTCAGTTGAGGGTTTAAGGTTTAGGGTCGCCGTCGGTGCAAATTTAGCGTTGAGGGTTTATAAGGTTTAAGGTTGCAGTGGGTGGTGATTTGAGTTTAGGGTTTAAGGTTCAGGGCTGTGGGTGCGCAGTTGGGGGTTTAGGACCGACATTTTGATGCGGTTGGTGGTGATTTGTTCAGGGTTTAGGGTTGACTTTGATGCTCTTACAAAGGTTGCTATAAGGGGTACCTTCCAGGGTTCCTCTAAGGCAGCTGCTGTTGGTTTAGGGTGTTGGGGTTAAGTGTGCAGCGAGGTTAGGGTTTAGGGTTCTCGGCTTTTAGGATTTAGGGTTTAGGGTCTTGGACATTCCCAAGAGGGTCCGTATACACTACTATTATGGAATTAGGACCCCTAAAACCATAGTGAGGATGGTCTTTGGGACCTAATTCCACAATGGTAATGTACATGGACCCTCTGGGTTCTAGAGCTTGACTTCATATAGCCAGTACATTTGCTGTGGCCAGAGAATGCCAGAGGAAACCTGTGCAGCAGGCCTGCCAAGAAACTACCCCTTTATTGTAGCCCCTAATTATCTCTTAATGAGCAATTTCAGAGTTTAAGGGTACTTGGGGGGTCCTGGTTGGGCCTAGGGCCAGTTCCGGGTCCAACATCATGTGCCACTCATCCCTGTCAGCGCCGAATACTGCCGTAGCCTTTTTTTTTGAATCTTCTACGTCTTCAAGTCTTCAACATCCGGCTGCAGCCTAACAGCGCCAACTGGAGATCTTACTTGTAGCTGCGGTGGCCACCTACAGCGCAAAGAGACCTGAACCCCAAGCCCTGAACCCCAAGCCCAAACCCCAAGCCCAAACCCTAAACCCTAAAGAGCTGGCCGATGGTGCATACCTCGAGGAGGTGGGCACTGGACTCGTGTTCGTGCGGAGAAAGAGCCATTGCATCTTAAAGCAAAAACTTAAGCCCGAAACCCTAAAAGCCGTAGCTCACCCATTTTGAAGCCGCCCTGCAGCTCCGAGGACTCGTTTCGGCAGATGGCTCTGCGACCTTCGCGCTTTGAACGGCTTATAGCTGCCAGATACTGATACTATGTTCTGAAACTTTTCTTATATTTATGATTTTAAGTAATATAATAAGTATCCTTTTCCTATGAAAATTCAGCCCGAGACGCTATTCCAATGATTGAGGTCCTTATACTGATTTAGCATGTGGCATCTCGTCAAATTTCCTTCAGAGCGGCCTGCTCCTGCTTGGAGGTTCATGCGACTTAGTAACCAGGGTTATAAGTAAGGTAACTATACTTAGAACTCCAATTAAGGTACTTTTAACCTTACTTACTAAGTCCCATGATCCTCCAAGTGCTTCACTTGCAGACTGAAAACCATGTCTGACATGTGTCGCTGGTCGCTCGTCTTACCTTTGGTTAGTAGGGAATGGAAGAATGGTAGTAATAGTGGTTATAGTTGTACCCCATTCCTCCATTCCCTATTAGCCAAAGGTAAGCCGTAGCTGATCTCGAAAGCATGTTTCGCAGGATTGTCATGCTTTTCCAAAAGTAGCTGTGCTCTACTGCGCTGGTCCACTTTGTCGATGGCGTCATGCTTTCAGGGATCGAATTCGATAGGGCCTGCCCACCTGCTGGCGAGGTCTAGCACCGTGAGGACTCGGATACCATCTACAAAACATCAACAGACAATCTGCTGTTGGAATGTCGGAGCAGGAGACTTATCGTTTGATTGTCGTCCTGTGAAGAAGGTCAGGCGAACGCTGCCACCTGTGACGGTGCAGAGGCGGGACGGAATTGGATGCTAGACTCTACAAAGGCTCAGACTGAGTTCAGCGACGCAAGCTCTAGCAGCTAAATCCTGAAACCCTACACTCTAAACCTTAAAGCCCGAACCCTAAACCCCACATGCTCAACTCTGAATTACGCTCCACGAGCAGGTCTCAAGACGGAGCACCAGCACCTCATGCTTTCGACTTGTGCCAAATTCTTGATGACGCCGCCGTCGCAGAGGCTGGGCCATAGGGCCCATTCTGTGTTAGCGGTCCTCCATTCTGAAGCTTTCATTGTCTTCAAGCTCAGATATGTCTTAAGCCCTAGAACCCACCATCCTCACCCAGGGAGCCCAATACCCCTTAAGTCAGGCATATAGCCTAAATCTTAAAATGAAGCCCCTTGCAATTTAAGGCATACTGATTAATAACGGGGTATTGGGCTCTCTGAGCACATGGAAGCCTGAATGATTCCCAATATCAGCCCTAAGGGCTCCTTGCAAACAATCGTACGACAAATCTAACCTAAATCCAAAAGGCTCATCGTTTAGCCCCCATATCCTAGCCTCATCCCAAACCTTAAACCCTTATAGCCGAAAAGCCCGGACCCCAAAACCCTTACAGAACTTTTGCACAACCAGATTTCTTAGATCGAACCTTTGCAGCACCGCCCACCCCATAAAGGCCGGTATAGGACTCCTATAGCTAACCCCCAAGTTCTCGCAACCTGGCAGGAGAACCAAAGTTGGAATCTGCCTCATCAGCCTTTGGGTGCTTCCCGGGCAAAGGAGCCGTGCTTAAGGGGTTAGGGATTAGGGGCTTCGGGGTTTAGGCTTTGGTGTTCGAGGTTCTGGTGTTTGGGGTGGGGCTTCAGTGTTTAGAGACTACGGCTGGAGAGTGTAGGGTTCTAGGATTTCTCTGCACAATTCCTTAGAACTGTGCGAAATCCGGTAAGACCCTGATCATGGACCCTTGTAAAGCCCGTGTAAAACCCGAATGAATCCCTGTATGTGCCCCATCCTGGGCAAGTTGCATTTAAGCGTCGCTGCAGGAGGCAATGACATACGAGCGCGGCCTCCCAGCATGGCTTTTCAGCGTTTCCAGGTGGGTGTTAGGGCCTATCACCACGTGGCATGATTGTGCCGATGCTTGTTGTATGGAGTCGCAAATCATCAAGTCTAAGTGTCCGGATGTGGCCGAATGACTGGAACGTACATCATCGCGCTTGAGCATAGACTCAAGCGAAGTTGCTCAGCTCTTCCCAGATGCTAGTCTAGCACTTCGACAGCCCGTGAGGGTCTTCAGCTTGCGAAGGTTTTTGAACAGCACCAAGCCGACCAAGCGCACCGAGGTTCTCGGTGCGGGTCAGCGATGGATATCGCTGGAGCGACTGGTTTGGGTCTCAGGCCTCTTCCCAGAAGGGAACCCCTCCTCCATGAAAAGGCACCGGAATTTGCCTCTACTTTCCTTGAGCTTAATTGGTATGTCGGCCAATTCAAGGGGTTACGGAGTCTGTGGATCAGAAGACCCGGCGAGCCCCCAATCCAGGAACATACCTCAAATCTTGAATTTCCTAATAGAACCGCATATTCCTTAGTTGAGGGGTATTGGCGGGTATTGGGCTCTCTGCGGACAAACCCTGAACCCCGAAACCCTAGAGCCCTAGACCCGAAACCCCAAGCCCTGCACACTTAGAACCTCAGAACCCTAGAGTCCTAAACCGACTTATCATCAATCAGTGGATCTGAGGTCCGCCCCGTCAAGGCGCTGTTGCTTTGCGATAGAGCCAGGTCCTTGGCGTGCTGCAGGTTTCAGGTTTAAGGGTTTGGGGTTTAAGGGTCTATAGGGTCTAATATAGGGGCCTCAATAATTAGAACAGGGTCTTGGGGCCCACTACACTATAACGTTAATGAGGAACCCCCTAAAATAGTATAGGTAATTATTAAGGCCCCTATATTCGGGTTTCACAGTTTCGGATTTGGGGTTTAGGGTTTCGGATTTACGGTTTAGGGTTTAGCGTTTCGCATTTGGGGTTGAGGGCTTACGGGCTCGGATTTGTAGTTCAGGGTTTAAGGTTTCGGACTTTTGCTCAGCATGGTAACATGGTACGCGTTGGCTCTCATGGTCACTGCGATGAGGGTGTAACTGTCATTTGTCCTGCGCAATCTCTTCTACAAGGAGAATCAGTCTGACAAGCCCGCAAACACTTCGGCAGGACAGCGGCATCAAGCTCTGCCACAGCCCTACACCCTACCTGTGGGCCCAAAGAGACCTACTGACTATACATAGAAACCATAATAAGGAGCCCCAAAATGGTAAGTCTTTGGGCTGAAGGTAAGCCAATCTGAGGCCTAATATAGAGGCCTTTTAAAAATTAGAAGGGGTTTACCTTATAAACCCCAAACCTAAACCCTCCTCAGCCATACTGAGGCCTAAGATCGTGAAGAATGCACCGGTGTCGCTGGAGGAGCTGCAGAGGCTCCGGATTCATCTCATCGCTGCAGTCCACCACCCCGAACTAAGGAGCAATATAGGGGCCTTAATAGTTACCTACAGGGTTCCTAGGATTTCGTTTATATGTGCCAGCATCCGCGCACCCCCCCCCCCCTCCCCCCCCCATGGTAATCCCCCTCCCCCCCCCTGTGGTTCCTGCCCCCCCCCTGTGGTTCCTCTTGGTTTTCCCCCTCCCTTTTGTGGTTCTTCTGGTTCCTGTCTCCCCCCTCCCCCCCTGTGGTTCCTGTGGTTCCTCCGCGTGGTTGCTGCTGCTTTGTTGTTGCTGCTGTTCTTCTTCTTGTTCTTGTTCTTGTTCTTGTTGTGTGGTCGCCCGGGTCGGGGGGGGGGGGGATACCATTGGGGGGGGGGGGGGGGTCGAGAACGCGGAGCGCGGGCACATATAGGGGTCTATTAAGGGTGTCTATTCGGAGTACTAGGCTCCCCCGTAGTACCCTTTGGCCCTTTTTTGCAAGATGCATGGTAGGAAAAAGGGTACCATTGCTATTACGGAGTCACTGGGGAACCTAGAGTAATATAGGGGGCCTTAGTGCTTATCCGTTGAAGGGGCCTATAAAACCTCTATAAGGGCTGTTACGAGGATGTAGTAAAGGGGCCTTAATTATAATTACCCATACTACTTTGAGGGTTCCTTATTATAAGTATAGTCTAGTACACCGCAGAACCTTAGTCTTATTATTGAAGCCCCTAGTGTATTCAAATTCCGCAACTTATAGTGGGAAACACCGTGGATCAATCACTATCTCGATAATTCTATTACGCGACTGTTGTGATGATCACGACAACTTTTGCTATCACAATCAGTAGTATCATGCATTTAGTAGTGCCGTTGTCATTGGTACGATTGTTGTTGTGATTGAACTCGCATTTTTGTTTATCGCCAATGTGCAATATAGATGACCGGGTGTTTTGGACGGCTATTCCTAAGGATTCCCATTCAGAGATAGTATAATAACATTGAAAACTGCATTTGTCAAAGGCCCGTAACGCTCAAACCCATCATATAAAGCCCTTATATAACCCTTTCAATAACTAAACCCTGAACCTCATGAGTAGCGGGGGGAACACTGGCGTCGTAGATGCAACTCCATTGCTGCAAATGTCCAGGAATCTGACGTGATCAGTCTCATGATGTTAGGGTTTAGGCCTGACGGATCTGTAGGGGTTGGGTCATCATAGGGTTTAATTAGGGCTGGAGGTTTTTTGATCTTGGGCTTTAGGGATCTGGTCTTAGGGTTAAGGGCTTAGGGTCCAGAATACACTAAGCTGTAGTGCGGTTCTCCTGTAGACACTGTGGAGCGCTCGTCTCGAACCGCACTGGGTCCATCAGTTGCTCTTCGGAACCAAAGAACCCTAAACCCTAAACCCTAATCCCCAAACCCCTAAACCCTAAACCCTAAACCCTAATCCCTAAACCCTAAACCCTAACCGAAGCATACACTTTGGGACCCTGAACCTTGAGCCCTGAGCCCCAAACCCCGGAAGGCTTTTGCCCTTTTAGTTCTGGATCTCCTTATTAAAACTGCTTAGAAGCTGAGTGGATACACTTTACACTTACTTTTGGGGATAATATTACACACTATCAAATTGAAAGTGTACATTTTGGGGGGCTTATGAATTCAGCAACTAAGACTGAATATTAGGAGAAAGGGTACCTTATTATTAAGGGGTTACTGAGGAACGTGGATCAGGGGCCTCTTGAAACTTGAAACGACACAAGGGACTGTCGTAGGGTATCCTTACCATAACCTTCCTGGGTTCGCCAATTTTCCGGGGTATCAGATCATTAGCTTCCGTGCTCCTCCATCTGACTTGGAGGATCGCGGGACTTAGTAATTCGAGCTTTGGGTCCCCGCTTAAGGGTACTATAGGGGTCTTTCTAAGAGGGGCCCCTTTATGGGTTTAATGTTGACATACGGCTCAGAGCAGTTTGGGGCAGAGGCTATCCCCTAAACAAGAAAACCCTAAGCCCGATCCTTGGATCCAGGACCCTAAACTCTAAACCCTACCCCTAAACCCAAACCTAAATGGTAAGCACTTATAGATCCCTCCCCTGCGTCATAGTTGGGTGACTTTCTGCATGTTTATGAGTACGTAAACCCAAGAATAGAAATCCAACTTTTCAATACTATCCCGACCAAACGCTAGACACCTGGACCCTTAGCCCTAAACCCTAATTAAACCCTACGCCCTAACCCCCCCCCAAAAAAAAAAAAACGTACGACACGAGACATTCTGATTGGAGGATCCTTATCTCGGACCCGCTCATGGTCCGCAGCTCGGAACTGTGGTGCCAGAGGGTTGTCGAGTTAAGGGTTCAGGGTTTCGGGTTGCAGTAATCCGACAAAAGGTTTCGGGTTTTTGAGGCTTTAGGCTCTAGGGATTTGAACCGGGAAGCTTCAGTAAACATCTATTCCCGCGTGCTTCAGAGTCATAGCTTGTCCCTTCGTGCCAAGATGCTGTGGACCCCGACGCCATCACAACAGTCTTGAACTCGCTAGCTGTCGAGATTGCAGTTGCGAATTTCGACTACTACGCCGACGGCGACAGCTTAGTGCTTGTTGTCTCCCTGCTCTCTAAACGTTAAACCGAGACCCTAAACCCTAAGCACGGCGTGCCATGCTTATGCTGCAACTGTTTCGGAGAGTCCCTCTTTTTTTGTCAAGTTGCCGCGTTCACCGGCGAACTTGACAAGTTTCACCAATGTCACGCGGGCCCGTTCATTATTGTTTGCATTGTCATGATAAGTTATTTCTTATGATGAGTATTCTGGTTTTGACTATGATGGTGGTGACGATGATTGTTATGACTATGAATATGAAGATAGTTAATCGGCCTTTGCATCACATTCTGCGCTTCAATGCAAACCGAGCGCTCGTTGCATCAGGCAGGCGTCAGCTTGCTAGAGCCGGTGCACCGACCGTGTAGCAAACTGGTCCGTCTGATCTTTCGAACGGCAAAAAACCTGTTCTCGCAGCGAGGCAGCAGTGGCAGTTGCACCATACGCCTACATTGGTGCGAACCTAGCTTCTTGTCAGGTTTTGGTTCGTCGTGTACACGTGCACAGAAACACTTCGCGAGATTCGGGGCGCGGATCGCTAGGCGTCCGTACGGCATCGCGAGAGATCGAAAGCCTGTTGACTGTTTCAAGAGGTTGCTTCAGCGGAACAAGTGGACCTCTTTGAACCGCTGTCAGATCAGATTGCATTTTCGCCGGGTGCTCAGAGAGTGGGTGCAGAGTATCTAGTCCAAAGTAAGTGGTGGTGGTCATCAACCCTAAGCCCCTAAGCTTGAATACTGTAAAGCCCTAAACCCTCGAAACCCTAAACCAGAAAACCCTTGCAACCCTTACAGCACCCTCTGTTATTCGAGCCCGTTTTAGTAATTTCCATTATTCCCTGAATTCCCTGATTTTATTCAGCCCTAACCACCGAAACCCCAAAGCCACAAGCTTTCAACTCTTCGAATTCCACACCCTAACCCCTCCAAAACAGGCACTCTAATCCTGTTTGTACGACTGTCTAGGGTTTGGGGCTAGGGTTTAGCCTGCACGAAAGCATCCTTCTGACGAAGCACGGTCTGAACTACTTGAATCAGGAGGTGTAGCCAAAGACCCTAAAATGCACCATAGTTCGGGGTCCGTATAGCTTTAGGGTCAGTCAATCATTTTCTGAAACTCGCAAACATAGGGTTGTCTTCAGATCTGCAGAAACATGGACCCTAAGCCCAGGCCCTAGGAGCACTTCAGGAAAGCTGGAAACCTTGAGCCGCAGAACGCCAAACCCAAAGCCTTATGTAAACCCCAACGAGGATGCCCAGTAGTACCCTTATTCCCTTTTTGTAGTCCTAGGTTCCTTATAAAGTTACCCAATACCAAAAAGAGAGGCCTTTTTGTTCTTAGGTTACTGGGTATCCTAGGGGTTCAAGTTTAAGGATCTAGGGTTTGAGGGTGCGCAGGTCAGAGTCAGAGCTTTTTGGTGTACTTGGAGGATCATGGGACTTAGTAAGTAAGGTTATAAGTACAAAGACCTAAACCCGAAGCCCTCAGTGGGAACAGTACGACTGGTGGAGGGCCTTCTGTGCTTTGCTGGAGTCTCGGCAGGGTGGTTAGTTAGGTTTAGGTAGTCTAGGGGCCTACATAATTACCTAGACTAGTACTATTTTGGGGGGTTCCTTACTGTAATCATAGTATATTGGGCCCCAAAACCATATTCTAATTATTAACGCCCTATAGTGCTCGAGTGGATAGCACCTGTAGCGGCAAAAGAGCTTGTAAACACAAAACCGACGAAATCCCTAGACCCCCAAACCCTAAACCCTGAATCCCAAAACCCGAAACCCGTATACCCTAAACCCCCCAAACCGCCAAACCCCGAAATCCTAAACCTTAACACCTTAACTCCCATTGCTTAAACCCAGAATCCCAAAACCCTGAACCCAGAGAAGCTCTAGATCCACCGACAGGTCAGACGGAGACATGGAGCCGCCTCAATGGGTCCGCAGCTCTGCGCAGCTCTCTCTTCCTGTCTCTTTTTTTTCTACGGTTTTGAGTTTTGGGTGTAAGGTCCGGGGTTTACGGTTTTGGGTCTTGGGTTTAGGGTTCCTTCTTTGTCGCTCGCTCTCCTTCTCTCTGTCTCTTCGTTCCCTGTCTCCCTCTCTCTCTATCTCTCTCTCTCTCTCTCTCTCTCGAGAGCGCTTCCAGGAAATCTGACAGCATGTGGATGTGTAAGTGGTTACAAATGTGTATGTATTCGTACTTGCACGTTTGTATTCAGACCTATGAGCATCTATATGTGTAGGTAGGTAGGTGTGCATGTATCTACACCAGTTGGCTGATGTTCTGTATCATGTCATTAGATATGGTTGTAATCGGGCGGTTCGGTCGATACCGATACGTATGCGGTATTTAGCGGTATATTGTATTGCCAGTATTGCGGTCTTTCGGTTCGGTTCGGTGCGATAGCGGCACGCAATACCGAATACGCACCAGACCTATCTGCCTTCAGCACCAACCTCCAGCCACCCTCCAGCCACCAACTCCAGCACCTGCCTCTCCAGCCACCAACCTCCAGCCACCTGCCTTTAGCCAGCCACCTGCCTCCAGCCCGCCTGCCTCCAGCCTCCTGCCTCCAGCTCCAGCCACCTGCCTCCTGCCGAGCCACCTGCCTCTAGCCACCAACGGGATGTTGCGATATTCTGTGGTACGGACCGGTTCGATCGGTTCCGTACGTGGCCACATAATCGGCGACACAAGCGGTTCGGTTAGCGATGTAGTGCGGCATGCAATAAAGGTATTGTTGAAACAGCCATGTTAGAGCATCTCAGGTTTCCGTGTCGCGGCCGCCTCTGCAGCAGGACTCCGACGTCCGCATCTCAGCGCCAAGGATTGCCGGTAGGCCGCCCTTGCTACAGCTAGTCAGTGCAAATGCAGGAACCATCATGTTGGGGTTTAGGGTTTCACAGGCTTAGCCACCATGGCAGTAGTGCAATGATCACGACTTGTTTGGCGCCTCAGACTTCTGCAAGCACTCAAGCCGCAATCCCCTTAGGGCGGAGTGTGAGGGGTTGAGGTTCCAGCATGCTCACATGAAAATGCGTTCGTTGCACTGCAATCTGTCTTTCGCAAACCCTGCGCATTGTCGTCGTCGTCGTAGCAGTAGTAGTAGTAGCAGCAGCAGCAGTAGTAGTAGTAGTAGGAGTAGTAGTAGTAGTAGGAGTAGGAGTAGGAGTAGGAGTAGTAGTAGTAGTAGTAGTAGTAGTAGTAGTAGTAGTAGTAGTAGTAGTAGTAGTAGTAAGTAGTAGTAGTAGTAGTAGTAGTAGTAGTAGTAGTAGTAGTAGTAGTAGTAGTAGTAGTAGTAGTAGTAGTAGTAGTAGTAGTAGTAGTAGTAGTAGTAGTAGTAGTGGTAGTGGTAGTGGTAGTGGTAGTGGTGGTGGTGGTAGTGGTAGTGGTGGTAGTGGTGGTAGTGGTAGTGGTAGTAGTGGTCGTGGTAGTGGTAGTGGTAGTGATAGTGGTAGTGGTAGTGGTAGTGGTAGTGGTAGTAGTAGTAGTAGTAGTAGTAGTAGTAGTAGTAGTAGTAGTAGCAGTAGTAGTAGTACTGGCGCTGGCACTGGCACAGGTAGTCGTAGTGTAGCACTATTTCGTTGGAACAGAGAACGAACGCAGTGCACATGTAAACAAGAGCTTCCTGTGGCTGTCGTGTCTGCTGCATGCTGAGACCGTTGCGCAGTCGCGCAAGCTGCGATTCACCGAACATGCTGTCTTCTGAGCCAAGGTGATTGTCGCCACCGCCAGAATGGGCCAGTTTGTGGCTTCGTGGCCCAACTTCTCTCCTCATGCCTACAGCCTGGGCCACTGAGTGAGATTTGAATCCGCCAGCTTTTTCTTCAAAGCTAGACGTTGCTGTTGCTCTCGCTTCGCATGTGTCACACTGTCATACCGTTATGATTCTGTGTCACGATTGACCAGGTCAGCCAGATGCAGGGGAACTTGATGTTTTGGAGCAAATCCTGGAGCAGCTTGCCTTGACATGGCGTCAGCTTTCTGAGAGCCCGCTTTACCCCGCAAGTGAGGAATCTCACTTACGTCATGGCAGGATCCCTCAACACAACAATAGCCCAACACTTCTTAAGTACGGGCTTATGCCCCAAATTCTCGAGGGGCCATTAATCCAATGGTAAAAGGAGGGACCCTTAATGAGGCATATACCCTTAATATAGCCATTATATACCCATTTTATAGCCCATTATAGGGCAGGGGTCCCCATTAAGGGTCCCTCCTTTTCCCCTTTGAATTAACATAATCGGAGGTCTGTTGCCTACTCGAGGGGTCATGTGCTTTCGGGACTACCTTGTTTTTGCCCAGAGATCCCAATACCTAATTGAGGCATATAGGCATATAGACCTTAAATCATAGTATTAAGGCCTCTATAATTTAAGGTATATTCCTTCATTAAGGGGTATTGGGTTCTGGGGGTGTCAGGTTAAGCAGTTCTATCGCTAGGGCGCCTTGATGAGGAAACAAGGTAGCCTTTGAAAGGGATCCGTAAGGGTACCTTTAAGGGGCTCCTTTAAGGGATCTATAGGGTTTAGGGGCTGATGATATAAATCCTGCAATGCCTTGAAGTAGAGTAGGTAACCGTTAACCTTTTTTGGGTAGTATGGTCCCTATATAGTCCCTATATAACCAACAAGGTTACCCTTTAGTTCCCCATGATACCCGACAAGTAGGGTAGCCTTGAACTTTCAACTCTAACACCCAAACCCTAAGTCCTTAACCCGAAAAACGGGTGGGTATCAACAAGGCGTATTGAGACCATGTGTAGCCACTAAACAATAAACCCCAAACCTCACAAGCATAGTTTGTTAAGGACTGCTTAATGATCAGGCATATGAGTATATCTGTACCTTAAACAGCCTACCTAATTAAAGGAGGACGTATAGAAAGAGCTCATAAGAAGGATAGGGACCCTGAAACGGTAGGATATGGGTTCAGGTAACCTTTACAAGGCGTTTAGATACTTGGAGCCAGCGCATATGCTGCCTACGATGAAAGACAGCACCTTTGATGCCCAGGACACGCAGCTTGCCACAATTCGTTCCGCCGCGGCTGCTCTATCGTCTGAACGTTCAGAGCTCAGAGGATCGTACTGAAAGGGTCATGACACTTAATAACCAAGGTTATAATTAGGGTAACTACGGTTAAAACTCGATATAACCCCAGCTAAGGTACGTACTCTAACTGTACTTACGAAGCCCCATGAACCTCCAAGTACACTAACTGCGACCAGACTGCAAACTGTTCATGGGTGGCTGTCAAAATTATGGTCCCTTTTTGGGTCCCAAATATAGTACGGCACCTAATATTTAGGGTACCCTAATTTTGACAACTACCCTCATGACAGTCTTCTCGTCCCTAACCCCAGGCCCCGAAGCCTGAAATGCCCCGGGGCCCAAAGTCCCAAGCCGTCCTCCAGCCTTAACCTTAAATCGGAGGGTTTTGGGCTTATTCGGGCTTAAGGTTTAAGTTTCGCAAGCCCAAAACCAGTCGTCAACCAAGGACCCTCAAACGGTTCAGAGTTTAGATTCTGGGCGTCTAAACCCCCTAGGTCCGGAAACTTTAGCCGACCTTGAGAGCTTTGGTTGTATACTAGGATGCCCAGTAGTACCCTTATTCCCTTTTTGTAGTCCCAGGTTCCTTATAAAGTTACCCAATACCAAAAAGAGAGGCCTTTTTAGTCTTAGGTTACTGGGTATCCCAGTATAAGTACCGTAATCAGAGTTCCACTAAGTGCCGGAGTAGAACCCTTTTGCCCTTTTTAGTTTGGGGTTCCTCATTAAGCTGAATAGTAGGACAAAGGGTACCCTGATTATCTGATTATTAAAGGGGTCGCCGTGGAACCTAGTCTACTTGGAGGGTCGGGGGACTTAGTAACTGGTTATTTTAGGGACTTATAAGTACCATAACCCCAATTAGGGTCCCTTTTAGGGTGCTTATAAGTCTACTTACTACCTACTTACTAAGTCCCCCGACCCTCCAAGTAGGAGGGGTAGTATAAGGGCTTTATAGGGCCTGGAGGGTTTACTTTAGAAGCTGCCCCCACCCTGTAATAGTGGTATAATAGTAATATAATAGGGCCCTAATAATCCCTAATATGATCCTTATGGTCACTATTACAGGGTGGGGGCAGCTTCTAAGGTTTACTATACAGTCATAAGTACCCTAACTGAACTTAAAGTAATGAGATTCATAGCTACCTCATTCCTGATCCTAGTTACCATAAACGTCCTATAGATCCCTTTTAAGAACCCTATAGCTCCCTTTAAGAACCCTTACTACGTCCCGTGATCCTCTGAGTAAAGGTTTGGCTGGTGGGTCCATCTCCAGATTCCCCAGAGTTGGAGCATCAGGCGGCGCAAACTTGGGCACTGTTGACTTATTGGCTGTCCCAGAGAGCCCAATACCCCTTAATTAAGGAATGTAGCTTAAATCATAGTATGAATCCAGTTATAATTTAAGGTATATACTCAGCTTTTCAACTTTTGGGGTTCTTACAAGGTAGTCGATTCTGAAAGCTTCAACTTGTATTGGTTCCCGGAGACTCCAAGACCCCTTAGTTAAGGCATGTACATATTCCTCCTAGATCAAAGTAAGATGCCTAATATGATTTAAGGTGTGCATATATATATATATATATATATATATATATATAGATTGCTTAAACTAAGGGGTTTTGGAGTCTCTGGGTTCTCAAGGGTTCTTAAGTTCGCAGGCCTTTAGTCCAGAATTCAGGGTTTACAAGGTATCGCTTGTGTGGTTTGCATGGCTTTCGGGTGTTAGGGTTTGCGCTGTTCTTCTTCATGTCGCTGTCCTCCGCCTAGTGGGCCTAGTCTCGACTTGAATCGCGACATGACATGAAGAGTTGGAGAACGATTCGTGTGACTGGCAGGGCAGAATATTGTCACACGAGGACGATGTCAAGGCACGACAGGGAGTGGAGCAGACAGCTGAGGAGCCTCCACCTGGTTCAGAGGACGCCTGTCTCCCGACATAGGGTCTTCCTGCAGTTGCAATTCCGTAGATCCGAAAATCCTCAGCTCTAATCCATGGTCCTACTTTTCAGGGCCTGTTACAACCGTAAACCCTATGTCATCGTCCACTGTTTTTCTCAAACTCGCATATGGTCTCCACTTCCAGGAAGCCTTGCGAATGTGACATGTGCATGTGCCAGACCTAAAGATTCACTAGGACCCAGAGTAGGCCCTTATTCCCTTTTTTAGGGTTTAGGTTCCCTTATAACCCCCTTTAACCCAAAAAGGGCATCCTTTTTATCCCTAGGTTACTCTTGGGTCTAGTTCACATAAGGGGAGCTGTATCGGTTGCTAGCCCTGGGCTTAGGCTTTCTTATACAATGGCTCTTTCTTAAAAGGGATATTGGAAAGGTCACTATGAGGTCTCAGGGTGAAGTACAAGTAGTGGTCCGTGTCGTTGGTATACTGTAGCCCAAGACCCCATTCTAATCATCAACTGCCTGTTGAAACCTTATGGAATCATGATCAACACCCTAGTTTGCGGGGGTCCTTAATAATTGGAATAGGATTTTCGGGTATCTTATACTTAGAATGACAATAAAGGACCCCAAGGAATCAAATAGGTAATTCTTCAGAATTCTACATTACTCTACCCTGAATCCAAAACCCTGATCCCCAAAGCCTAAACCTATAAGAAGGCTGTGTGTCCTCCTCTCAAGGCCGAGCGGACCCCGACAGCACCCAATTCAAACGACTTGCAGGGTCATGGGACTTAGTAAGTAAAGGATTATTGGCCCCTTTAACGGAATTACAAGGGATCTATAAGGGTACCTTTAAGGGGACGTTTAAGGGATCTATAGGGTTTAGGGGGTAATTCTGACTTAGACAGTGAACGGGGAACTTTTAACTTTTTGGCCTTATACATTAGCTCTATCTTTGAAAGTTTGACCTTTTTGGGGCCCGGTTGTTGAAGAAGAGAGTAAGTAAGGGGTTATTTGCCCCTTGAAGGGAATTACAAGGGATGTGTAGGGATTTACGGGCTCAGGGTTTAGGGCCCACTTGGAAATGACGTACCTACAACTACAAAAACCTGTAAGCGCAGTGAAGGTACATGTGACTGCACTTACTACATATGGTGCCCTAAAGCTTAAACCCGAAACCATACATCCCTCCAATGCCCTAAGCCCTCATGATGACCATCTCTAATTTTTTTTGCAACCGTTGTATAAGAAGCAACCCTTGCAGCGCTATAGGAAACCTTAAAAAAGCCCTGAAATCCCTCGCAGGCAGGAGACCACGAGCCGGCTGATCTGCTGTACCGACAATTTGACCTGCCCGGCTCCCTGTTTAGGGTTTAGGGTTAGGACTTTGGAGTACCATACTTGCAGACTTGTTTTCTTAAAGGAACCATTCTGAAATAGAAGTATCTACTTTTTCCTCCCTGGCTACTTAAAAGCCCAGTTTGGGGTTCTTGCTCAGGAGGCTAACTTTAAGTATAGTTGGGTATCATGTTGCATTTTTATGGGTGCTTAAGCCCAGCAAGGTATACAAACATGAATTAAGCCCCATCACAACCATGAACTTGTAAAACGGATCTACAGTAATAATTTGGTTTCCTTACTACGACCCTTTAAGTTAAATCCTTTAGCAAGAACCCAATTTGTTTTGAGCGGTTCTAGGTAGGCTTTTAGGGCATTGACATTTTCCCTTATTGGGCTCAAGACGATCTTATTAACGAATATGTTTCAGAGGCTTCCAAAGGCCAACGGCCCTTCTAAGGGTTCCACAAGAGTTGATGTAAGGGGGCGCTCTAAGGGTTTGAGGCTTCTCTGGTTAAGGGTTCAGGGTTTAGCAGTTGGGGTAGTTCTTTAAAGTAGCGTCCCTTTTCAGTCACCCAATGATATGGCTCCCTGCTAAAAAGGAACCTATCAGGGACCCATTTGGAGTTTGCCCAAACCTTCAACCTTAACCCCTAAACCCCTAAACCCTAAACCCTAAACCCCCAAACCCTAAACCCTAAACCCTAAACCCCTAAACCCCTAAACCCCTAAACCCCTAAACCCTAAACCCTAAAGCCTCCGTCCTTGCACTGCCAAGGCCTCCAAGTGCCTTTCCGGATGGAAATCCAACAGAGCTGTTCTCAGGATCTCGAGTCGCGGTTTGCGGTTCAGGATGTCGGGTTCGGTGTGGGAGAATAGTCTTGAGTTATGTTATACATTGTGGCCGTGTAGGACCTAAACACAAATACTTGCACGAATTTAGGAACAATTCATCCTCAACCATCACCCTGATTCAATAAACAAACAAACTATCAAGTTATAACTCGTCAATGCTTGCGGCATGGATCAATGCTTGCAGCATGGAGGGGCTTCGCATTTCGAGGAAGGCCTCGGCATTCAGAATTATCCTTGGTGTATATTTTCTGAACCTGTAGTATGTGACAGTATGTGGCTGTTTCTATTTACAGCCTCTGTACCGAGTCCCCGGATCCGTGAGATAGGCCTCCGAAAATGTCCGAAGCTTGTTGCTGCCAAACATTCTATTTGTTATTACCCCATCCTGGGCCCTATCTACGACCTGAAAACATGAGGCTTTAATGCGTCCGCCAAAACAAGTAGCCAGGTGTGTCGGCTGCAAGTAAGCCCTAAACCAGGTCACGACGATGAAGTGGTGCCTGCCGGCCCTTCTTCCTGACAAGATCTTCCGCTGCCTGCTCCCGAGATGCCCCCTTCAGTCATAACCGTAGGGGGGGTAGGGGAATTATGGGTATTAAGGCCCCCTACCCCCCCTCCCCCTACCCCCCTAAGGGTCCCTATATTCAGAATCTCGAGGTTGATTCCTGAGATGCGGAGGACCTGTGGCAATAAGCCTTACAGAACTCTTCAACAACCCAAGAAACCCTACGAACCCCGAAAAAGACCCTAGACCCCAAAGCGCTCGACAAATCTGGAACCTAAATTCTGAAAACCTGGACCAGAACTCAGGTTCGGTGGAAGCTCGCTTCGAGACAAACACCTCTGTGCATTGGCTCTTGGCCTCAGCGATTGCTTTGGAAGAAGCGCTTCGAGACACTGCTTGGTTTTGTTCCTGGTTCCTCCGAAAGCCTGACCTCTAAGGCTCTGTATAAGGGTCCGATTAGGGTACTGTAAGGGATCCTGAGTAGTACCCTTTTGCTTTTTTTTGTTTTGGGTCTCCATATTTAAAGCCGAATATTAGGAACAAAGGTATCCTTGTTGGTAAGGGGTCACTCAGGAACCTAGATGTCCGTTTCTCCGAGGTGGACTCCACTGATGATGTGTGGAGCTCACGGTTGCCATGCGTTCTGTCGACTCGACCACTTTCGGCTTAGATAGTGAACGAACGGGGGAACTATAAACTTTTTGGCCTTATATATCAGCTCTATCTTTGAAAGTTTGAACTTTTTGGGGCCCGGTTGTTGAAGAAGAGAGTCGGCAGTAATCACCTGCGAAACGAGCCTGAACAATGACAGCTCCAAAATAGAATTTCTACCACTCCCTGGCAGGTCTACCATGAATTGACCTTGACGTAGGGTTTGGGATGAAGGGTTTTGTAGTTCAGTGGTTATCGTTAGTGGTTGAGGGTTTAGGCAGAGTAAAGCACAAAAGCCCTAAACCCAAAGCGTGCGCATGGCGGATTGCATAAATCCCGAAAACCATGAAGCGTCTTATCTCGCCAACACCCCAGACCAAAGCAGGTCTTATGAAATACATGTCAACCACTGGGCACTCTTTAGGAACCACTGCCAGTACAATCAAACAGCATTGTCTGAAACTAGACTACGCCCTAAACCCGCAACCCGTGGTTCTTTATGGGTTTAAGGAAACCCTTAGCCCTACCCCAAGGCCAGAAACGAAAAGCCCAAGCCCCAAACGCTAAACCCCAAACCCTGAACCCTAAACGCTAAACGCTAAGCCCTGAACCCTGAACCCTAAACCCTAAACTCCAATCCCTGAACCATAAACCCTAAGCCCTAAACCCCAATCCCTGAACCGAGGTCGGAGGAGTTTGTCGTTGAGCGTATGCCTCCGCCAGCGCCACCTGAGCTTGCTCCGGTTGCGGAGCTGCCAACGCTCTGGGCTAAGTCAGATGGGTGGTTGTCAAAATTATGGGCCCTTTTCCCAGAGACTCCAAAACCCCTTAATTAAGGAATATGTAGGATTAAGGTGTTTCGGAGTCTCTGGGTTTTGGCCCCTAATATAATACGGCACCTACTATTTAAGGTACCCAAAAAGGGACCCGAGTTTTGACAACTACCCAGATCAGGGGAGGCAAGAGGGCTTCTTTACTTGGAGGTTCATGGGTAGTTAGAAGTGGGGTCACAAGTGGGATAAGTATAGTTGTAAACCGTATTTGGGGACTTATAACCCTGACTTATAAAACTACCCATGAACAGGCTGGTGCAAGGGTTCCTCTCGCGAAGCTAAGAAGTGCAGAGAAGGCTTGCTTTGGGTGTGTGGAGTGTTAAGCGGGCTTCTTTAGGGTTGCGCAAGAGTTCCCCTAAACCTGAAATAGAATCACAGCCCAAGAACATGAATCCAAAATCCTAAACTGACTCCGTTTAGGGTGGGTGGGGCAGGCTTTTACTACGCTAGACTTAACCTTAATCCAACAGCTTAAACCCCAAGCTCTTGATCCTAAACCATGAACCCAAAACCTCACTTCGAAACCCAAAGCTCTAAACCCTAATCCCTAAACCCTAAACCATGGACATCCATCACCTCTAAACCTTAGTCCTTACACAATCCTTAACCCCCAAAGCCCCAGACTCTCAACCTCAATCCTTAACCCTTAAGCCTTGGAGCGCTGGGTTTGTGCCCTAAACCCTAAACCCTAAGCCCTAAACCCTAAACCCTAAACCAGGCCACAACTCCAGAAACTGCTGGCTCGCCGTGCCCCGGGTTCGACGACCTACCTCGTAGTGCATGGGCCTCGGTGCAGGGTCTGGGCCTATAACCCCAAAACAGAAGGATTCATATCAAGGAACCCTAATCAAGGCACAAGGTTTCTTAATCACGTTCCTACACTAAGACCTCAAAGTAGAGTTCCGTGTCATAAGGTTTAAGGCTTGCATTTCAAGTTTTCGACGACCTACCTCGTGGCGTTTGGGCCTCGGTTTATGGCTTAGGGTTTACCGAGGGATCCCCAAAAGCTACTGTTGTAGGGATGAAGCCATTTTACTAAGGTGTCAGAACCTACTATCCCTAAACCCTGAACCCTACACCCTATCTAAACCCTAAGCCGTTGTAGGGTTTGGGGCTAAAGGCAACCCTGAACCCTAAAGCGTGTGGGGCTTTGGGCTTATGTTTCAAGGCCGGGGTCTGAGGGTGTCGGGCGGAGTCTGGGCGAAATTGGGCTTCATTACCAGGACCCTCCTTGTACCCTCAGATAGGGGTATATGGTCCCCCCAAAAAAGGGCTTTTAGGGTCTCATAGAGAGTAGATGGAGGGTCTGGGTAAACATTGGTGCTCTTTAGGTTTAGGCGTCGAGTGCTCATGTTTGCCCCTGCCTAGAGCAACCATGGTAAGTTTAAAAAGCTGTGCCATGTTTTGGGGGTCATAGCCCTTGCTTGAAAGTACATTGGTTACTTTAGGTAAACCCTAAAACACCCTAAAACCCCGTCTCACCGGGGTCTGAGACCTGTGAAGGCAGCAGTTCTCTGGTCTAAGTTGTGCGAGACGAAGAGCACCATCAAGCCCCCCCAATAAACCATACAAAACTGCTACAAAGACCGGTGTACGTAGGGTTTATAGGCTTAGATCCCGACGAAGAAAACTAAACCTTAAGACCCTAAGCCCTACAGCCCTAAGACCCTAAGCAATTAAACCCTAAACCTTAAGACCCTAAACCCTACAACCCTAAGACCCTAAACCACTAAACCCTAAACCTTAAGACCCTAAACCCTAAACCATTAAACCCTAAACCCTAAGACCCTAAACCCTACAACCCTAAACCCTAAACCCCTCTTTAAGGCGATGGCCTTGGTCCGTTCAGGGCCGACCAGTGGACATTCTGCGCGATGCCTGCCATGCTCTCGAGCCGGTGGCTGAGGATTCTGAAGAGAGGCCTTCCTTTTAAAGGGATCTATAAGGGTACCTTTAAGGGGCTCCTTTAAGGGATCTATAGGGTTTAGGGGTTGATGATATAAATCCTGCATTGCCCAGCAATAGACTAGGTAACCTTTTACTTTTTTTGGGTAGTATAGCCCCTATATATGACCTATATATCCAAAAAGCTTAAACTTTGCGTTCCCCATGATACCCGACAAGTGGGAAGGCGGACCGCCCCAAGTACCCTTCAATGAAGCCCTTGAAAGTTCCTTGCAGGGTGCTTTATGGTCCTTGATAGTGGGTATTTCGGGAAAAGTAGAGGGCAGTAGGGGGGTCTAGGAAAGGCTTTACGTTTAGGGATCCGTTGGGTTGCTTTAGGTTTACTCTAGAAGGATTTACGGCTCAGGTTTTGAGCTATGAGTTTAGGGTTCTGTCGGGATTTTGGGTTTGGGACTCCCAACTCGAGAGCGCGGAACCCTCCGAAGTGCTTCTTATTCTGCGTTAGGGTTTAGGGATGCCGAATTTCAAACCTGGGCTTGTAGGGTTTCCCTGAGAGCCCAATACCCCTTAATTAAGAAATATTCCCTAAACTATAAGGGGATCCATATTCTGATTTAAGCTATATTCCTTAAGTAAGGGGTATTGGGCTCTCTGGATTTAGGGCTGGGCCAACGCATCGCCGCCGCTGAGGTTCTGTCCAAGTGGGGCGCGGCAGTCTTTGAAAGATTCAAGCGCCAAGTGCTGTCCCCAGTGAACTTGGAAGGACTAGTACCTTAGATAGAAAACGGGGGAACTTTAAACTTTTGGGCCTTATATGTTAGCTCTATCTTAGAAAGTTTGAACTTGTTGGGGCCCGGTTGTTGAAGAAGAGAGTTTCAAGGAAAGGCGGCTGCTTCATAACATGAATGGCATTCAATAGTATAGTCCCGGAGCCCTATACCCTAAACACTTAAACACTAGCGCCTTAACCTCAAGTCCAAAGCTCCTCTAAACCTTGAAAACCCTGACCCTCCAAGCGGAAAGCAGAGAGAAAAGACCAGAGGGCTTCAAACCGAAATCGTGAAAAATTACTGGACTCCACTTCGTGTACCTGTAGGCTCAGACTCTATAGGATCGTCGGTTATGATCCGCTTAGCTATAAATCACAGGCCACAAGTCTTGAAGCACTAGGTCGTGGGATCCAGAGGTAATCTCTAAGCCCCTCAGCCTCTAAATCCCAGTATCTTCTTGTCGTAGCCTTATGAGATTATTAGGGCCACACAAGGGGGTTTCCAAAAAAATTATTTTTGCACATTTATTGCATATTTTTTGTGCGTCGCGTTTGCGTATTTTTTGCATGTGTTTTTTCGTTTGCAAATATTTTGCAAATATTTTGCATATTTTTTGCGTTTTTTTTGCATGTGTAATTTTGGGTGTTTAAATGCAAAACAGCCACAAAGATATGCAATACACACTGCGTTTTGCATATTTTTTGCGTTTTTTTTGCATGTGTAATTTTGGGTGTTTAAACGCAGGTGTTGCAAGGCTGCTGCCAGGGCCCAGGGCCCAGGCACGCCAAAAATATGCAAAAAATGTGCAAAACACACTGTGTTTTGCATATTTTAGGGGTGCCGGGCCCACCGGCTGGGCCAGGGCACGGCCCGTAAAATATGCAAAACACAGTGTGTTTTGCACATTTTTTGCGTATTTTTGGCGTGCCGGGCCCACCGGCTGGGCCAGGGCACGGCCCGTAAAATATGCAAAACACAGTGTGTTTTGCACATTTTTTGCGTATTTTTGGCGTGCCGGGCCCACCGGCTGGGCCAGGGCACGGCCCGTAAAATATGCAAAACACAGTGTGTTTTGCACATTTTTTGCGTATTTTTGGCGTGCCGGGCAGGTTCAGAACCGTGCGATGCAAAAAAATGCAAAAAATATGCAAAAAATATGCAAAAAATATGCAATAAATTTGCAAAAGATTTGCAACACAAAAAAAACATGCAAAAAATATGCAAACCCGACGTGCAAGAAATTTGCAATCAATTTGCAAAATATCCGCAAAATAATTATTTTCAGTTTCATAGGCTGTAGCCTGCTAATAATCTCATAATCGTAGCCTCAGCCCCAAACTCTAAAGACCCCAAAGCCTCAGCCCTAAATCTCGCCCAAACCCCAAAAATTAACCTAACGCCTGAACTAGAAACCTTAAGCCCTAAACCCTAAACCCAAGCTTTCGTGTGTCTCGGACCGTTGAAGAGAACAGGTGCTGAACAAAAGTCAACTCTAAACCTGAAAGCCCTCACGCCCGGAAGCCTGAGCCCTAAATAAATGCCTAAACTCCAACCCTAAGGCTCTAAGGACTCATGTCTTGAAGCTCTTGGCCGTAAAGACCATGTTAGAAACGGCTGTTGGGGCATTTTGGGCCTTAAGGTCAACCCCTAACCCCCTTGACCTCAAGCCATAAGCCGTTAACCTGCTTGCAGGCCATTAGATCCCAAGGGCGAGACCGTCGTCCTTGGCCGGCGGCTCAGGGATCGTGGGATCACGGTTTAAAGGGAACTCCAGAAAGTTGGAATATGGTTTCAGGGTAGGATACCCTATAATTCACCATAAAGGGTCTAGGATAATCATATTCCAACTTTCTGGCTTTTACTTTAGGGTTTTAGGGCTGATGTCGTCACAAGTTTCTAGGGTTTCAGTTTCGGTCTTCTGGGTTCAGGGGTTTGAGGTTCAGAGTTTTGCGGTCTTCTAGGTTGAGCGCTAAGGGACTGAGTTTAGTAGGGGAAGAGGATGTACTTGGAGGATCATGGGGCTTAGTAAGTAAGGTTATAAGTTATAAGTACCCTAATTGGAGTTATAAGTATGTTTACATTATTTATAACCCTAGTTACCAAGTCCCATGATCCTCCAAGTAGACCCTAAACCCTAAACCCCTATAGATCCCATATAGAACCCTTTAAAGGAGCCCCTTAAGGAACCCTTTAAGGCTCCAAGTAGAGGTCGGCTTGGCTTGGAGATCTGGGGTTTGGGAATGGGTTGCGAAATGGGGGTTTCCGAATTTTTAGGAGTACCTACGGTTGATGATAGAAATCCTGCATTTCCCATAATGAGGAATATACCATAATTCCCTTAGTTTAGGGTCCTTGAAGTAATGCAGGATTTATACCATCAACAGTATTTTGCGGTCGGTCTAATAAGGATCCTACTATTCAGGGTAGTATGTTAGGGTCCCCGACTCGGAAACTCCCAAATATTGAACCCTAAGCCTAAAGCCCCTGAACCCGAAAGGCTTGTTTTGGGCTGGGTTTGGGCTGAAATGGGCGGTGGGTGGGATGTCCTGTTTCGGTGTCTGTTCGACAGCGCTAGGAAACTTCGTGTAGAGGTTCATGTAGAGGCAGTTTTGGTGGTTCAGGTTTATAGGGTACCCCAAGGGTCCAAAGGACCCAGTAATGAGGTACTCGGTCTTAGGATGGTAGTTATGTAGGTTAGGATTTTGGAGAGTGTATGATAATCAGGTACTTGGACCCTGAGGGTTAGGGTTCAGGGTTTAGGGGATTAAGTGTAACCGTCCTAAACCCTAAACCCTCAACCCTAAACCCTAAACCCTAAACCGTACATGTTTGAAGGACCTTACCCCGAATTCCATCCCACCGAAGCTTAATTGAATACCCTCTGCAAGCCCCGAGCTGCAACTTTCGATCTTTGACTCTGACCTTTGTATACTTGTCCCTAACTCCGCAGCCCTAGACCCCTAAACGCTGAAGCCCTAAGCCTTAAATTATTAAACCCTCCTGCACCCCGAAACCCTAAACCCTAAACCCTAAACCCGAAGCCCTAAACCTCCTAAGCCCTAAGCCCTAAATCCCTAAGCGACAGTAAGACGGCAAGTTCGGCTGGGTGCAGCAGGTACTTGGAGGATCATAGGACTTCGTAACTCGGGAGATAAAGAAGGCAACTATATCTATAATTATAATTACTGTTGCCTCCAACTCGGGTCCTATAACTGGACTTTCTAAGTCCCATAAACCCAAAAAGCCCCATAACACCCCAACTAAGGGCACGTATAACCTCTCTTCCTAAGTCCAGTGATGCTCTTAAACCCTAAACCCAACACCCTAAAAAATAAACCTTAAAGCTTAAACCCTTAAAAATCAACCCCTAAACCCCTAAAACCCAAACCCTGCACCCTTAAACCCTGAACCCCCGAAACCCCTAACCCTTAAACCCTAAGCCTCTAAACCATAAACCCTTAAACCCCAACCCCTAAAGCCTTAAGCCATAAACCTTATCTAGGTAGGCCTTTGGGACATTTTATATTTTCCCTTATTGGGCTTGATAGGACCCCATTTACGAATATTTTTCAGAGGCTTTAAAGGGCCAACCTAGTTACATAAACCTCAAGGCCTCAGCCCCAATCCCGACCCAGAGACTCCAACACCCCTTAATTATGGAATATACCTTAAATTATAGTAGGATCCTTAATATGATTTCAGGAATATTCCTTAATGAAGGGGTATTGGAGTCTCTGGGGACAAACCGAGCGAAGCTGAAGGCCGTGCTACCGGGCCATGGAAGGAGCCGAAGGTCCGAGCCCTTGCACAAAGACTAGGGTGGTTAGGGTTTAGGGGTTTAGGGTTTAGGGGCCTTGGGTGTAGAGTTTAGGATTTAGGGGATGTTTCTGCAGAGTTTCATGGTGCTTTGTAGGTCTTTGTAAATGCTAATCTTCATCAGGGCTTCAGCCGTTTGGCTCTCTCTGCTCCCTGCCCCTGCCACTGGCCCAGCCCTGGCACCCCTGCCCCCCCGGAACCCCCCTGTCCCTGCCTAATGTCCTGCCTTCTCTCTGCCCCCTGGCGATGATTCTCTTGGGAGCTTCTAGGGATTTGGGCAGAAGCGTTTAGGGACGTTCGGGGCGGGTCCAAAAGTAGATCCCTTAATGGGGATTCCTATAAAGTAGCCTTAGTAGTACAGGGCCCTTGGGGATCTACTTTCTAGATCCTCCCAAAATTCTGGGAACAGCTTATGTGGTGGGTTGGTTAGGGCTCCGCTACTTCTGAACCTCCTGGTTTCTGGGTTCCTGAGTATTTATATACCCTTTTGGCACTTTTTTGGTGTGGGGTTTCCATAAAAAAAATTGCGCATTAGGAAAAAATGGTACCCTCACTATGAAAAGGCTACTGATGAACCGAGTAGTTTGCACACTGAGATATTTGGCCCGGTACTACCCAAAATCCCTTCATCTCGGAATATAGTTGTAATATGCCTGTTTCTTGTTTGTCCTTCAAATAAACTAGAGTATTTTCCCTATAATTAAGCCGGATCCCTATCGAACCCCTGATATTTTACAATCTATTCCCTCATTCAAGGGCCCCCTGGGCTCTCAGGGAAGCTCTGCGGTAATTGGTTCCTCTAAGGGTTCCTACAAAAATCCCTAGAAGGTTTTTTTTTCGATGGGTTTAGGATGTACGATTCTGATCCTTGCAAGCGAGGCACAACAAGTTTGTTTCGCCAACTTCGAGAAGGGCGAGGCCTGCTGCCAGTCAAAGCTGTAGTTTCGGGGGCCTCAATACTTAGAATTGGGCTTTAGGGTATGATATGTTCTACATGTAGTATCATTACAAATGATAGGGGTTCTGCCCCGACGGGTCCTCATGCCGAACGAGTAGTGTTTCGCGTTTTTGTGTAATGACGTAAACCCTTAACCCTTAACCCTTAACCCTAAACCCTAAACCCTTAACCCTAAACCCTAAACCCTAAACCCTTCACCCTAAACCCTTAACCCTAAACCCTTAACCCTAAAGCCCTTAACCCTTAACCCTAAACCCTAAAAGCCTTTGGGTAGTTGGACCCTGAGGGCCTCAGGGTGCAGGGGACAGCTTGCCTTCCGAATGGCAGGTTCTGCGAGGTTGCATTGCTTGGAGGTTCCGGTATTAGGGTTTAGGGTTTAGGGTTTAGGAAGTAGCTCAATTGAAGTTATGAGTAGTTATAAGTATGGGCACCTTATTTATTACCCGAGTTACTAAGGCTACTAAGGCCCATGATCCTCCGAGTGGATGCTGCGATAACATCTGCAACGACTGCAGCCTGCAGGGCAACCTGAGAGGTTTTAGTGATTTTAGTGTTGCTGCTTACTTTTTGTCAGATGCGTGCTTGCAACTTGCATCGCCTGTCAACATGGCACTAACTACGGCAGGGAATGATAAAGATCCTAAACAGCTCACACTACGTACAATACCCCGCGTCTCTGCATGTACCCCCCAAAGCCTATTCAAATCAGTAAAGCCGCGATACTCCTAAACCTTAAACACCACACCCTATTCTGACGGTTCATAAACCCTCAACCCTAAGCCTTAAACCCCCAAACCCTAAACCCTGTTCTAAAAATTCAAGCCCCGCTTTATCGTGCTGCCCACTTGTAGGTCTGGTTTGAGCTTCCGGAAGATGCAACCGTCGAGCCCAATTGGGTGCGCCGCAGAAGACAGGGGTTTAGAGCTTAGAGGCTTAGAGATTCAATTAGAGGTTGAACTATAATAAATTAGAGGATTAGGGGTTCAGGGTTTAGGGGTTCACGGCTTACAGGTTTAGGGGCTTCGGGCTTCAGCGATTTAGTTGGTGCCATTTGTAAAAACTCCGCAAAGCGTTCGAAAAGCATCACGTAGCAACTTCTCTCAAGCAGTTGTTGGAGCAAATCCTTGAATCCAGGAACGATTCAAGCTTTGTAGCGAAGTCCGGGCCAAGAAAACGTGGCTACGTTACGATGGCTACTTCGGGGACATCTGGGATCTCCAGTAGTACCCTTATTCCCTTTTTGTAGTCCTAGGTTCCTTATAAAGTTACCCAATACCAAAAAGAGAGGCCTTTTTATTCTTAGGTTACTGGGTATCCTAGACATGGATTTTCTCAACTACAGTGTACAGGCGATGCAGAGAGGGTAGCCCCTCAGCATATTCGGCGGAGGCGTGTGCTGTGGATTACTTTACAGTACGGGCAGAAGTCAGGAAGAGTGAAATCGATGCCGCATGACTCAGATTGGACTTGTTGGGGAGATGCACGGTGGGAGAGAGAATCATTGCAGCATGCAAGGGGAAACATGGGGAAGTAATGAGATTAGATTTAGCATCTTGCCTAAACTAGGCCTTGAATCGTAACATTAAACCCTTTCCAACCTGTACCGTTGTGAACTCGTGCTTCCCGAAGTCGAGCACTCGTTGTGTTTCAATCCCTGCTTCATCACTCAGAACCTACATGTTTGAGGTTCCTCATTCTGATTTTCTTGAAAACGTAGGTGTTGAGGGGTCAGTTGGCCACTAAACCTGAAACCCCCATAGCAAAGAGGTACCGCTCTTGGTGGCGAGTGGGCTCTGGACCTCAAGCGACCATGCTAGTGCGGGACTGACATGGGGGGGGGGGGGGGTTCTTGAAGCCTCTGGTGTTTTGTTTCAGGTTTGTTGGGTTTTTGGTTTCAGGTTGAGGGCAGTGGGTTTTGGTTTGTGTGGTTTGGGGTTGCAACATGCAAGGCCCGAAGGAAAAGGATGATACCAACAAGAACAGAAACCATGCCAAATAAGCCTATGCTCATGCTGACAAGAACAAGAACAACAACAATAACTACAGTTGTACTCATGACAAAAGCAACATCATCAACTACGAGGAATGACAGTCAATACTGATGTTTGGAACATGTCCAGAAAAGGCGAATCGGGTGCGCGGGATGTACTGCGGGTGCCATATTTCTCGTTTTCCGATTATGGAGAGCACCCTAATTATCGATACAAGCGGCATGTGCGGTTTGCATGTTTGCTTTGCGACGCGCGAAGAACAGTTTTGACGGGAATGACAACAATCACAGCAAACATAGCAATAGGACGCTGTTATGTAGCAGGAGCATGGTTTGATTGTAGCTACAGGGTGGCAATTTTAATCGAAACAGTTAGTGAGTCAGTGACGTAACATAGGGTGTCTATTTACAGCAAAACTAATGCTGATGAGACAAATCTCTAAGCGACTGACCCTGACAATGAATGATAACCGAAACACAGACAGCAATTACCCCTACACCCTAAATCCCACTGCCAAAACCCTAGACCCTAAACCTTACCCTTTTTATCCGTAAACCCACACCTGGCATTGAGGTGAGCCGCATTCTGTCCACCTCCGCTGGAGATTGAAAGCAGGTTCGTGCTGCCAGTTTTAGGTTCAGGGTTTCGTAAATCTAGCTTCCCAGGCAGTACCCTTTTGCCCTTTTTTTCTTGTTAGGGTTCCCTTGTTACTAACTTTAACAGTATGTTCCCTTAGCATTAAGGAGACACTGGGGAACGTAGTAATGTTAACGACTTGAAGAATTAGACTTGGGATTTTGGGGTTTGACAACTGTAACAATATGATCAGGGGTAATATAGAGGCGAGGGTCTGGGTGTGGTTCCAAACATAGTTTACAACAAGGAGCCTACTTTTTTGTGGCCACCTCTCTACATCCTAGTCTAAGATCTATCGGGACCTCCTGAAACACCCTAAACCTTAAACACCATATAACCCCAAACACCCGAAAACCAAGCTTAAAAACACACTGAAACACCCGCCCTAACATCCGAAATCCTAAACCCCTAAACTTAAAAAAACAAGCTCACAACTCCTACACCCTAAAAGGCCCCAAACCTTGAATACCCTGAAGTTTAAATCTTAAAGCCTAAGCCCTGAACCCTAAACCCTCAACCCTTAACCCTGAAGCCGCCTAAACCCCCCCTAGGTCCGTCTCAAGTCCTTAAAGGAGCCCTTACAGTAAAAGCCAGAAAGTTGGAATATGATTATCCTAAACCCTTTATGGTAAATTCTAAGGTATCCTACCCTGAAACCATATTCCAACTTTCTGGAGTTCCCTTTAAGGGCAGGTTATAAGTAGGGTTATAACTGGGGTAACTCTATTTAGGGTACTTATAACTCTACTTATAACCTACTTACCAAAAAGGGAACCCTCGGATCCCTTAAACAGAGTGGATCCGCATCGCCACAGTCCCAGGTCCCTCGGACGTTGCCGTGACCAGCGCTGCACTGCACTACAGCGCTGCCACGGGTCCGGCGGGGCTCCAAGCCGAAAGCGAATCCTGGGGTTCCATTTAGGGTTCTATAAGAATTCTAGGGTTCTATAAGAATTCTAGGGTTCTATAAGAATTCTAGGGTTCCTGTGGTTCTACATGAATCCTAGGGTTCCTTTCAGGATTCTGTCATGGGGTTCCCTTTGAGTGGTTGTCAAAGTTAGGGTCCCTTTTTGGGTACCCTAATAATAGTGTGCCGCATTATAAGAGGGACCCAAAAAGGAACCATAATTTTGACAACCATCCATTTAGGATTCTATAAGAATTCCACAGTTCTAGTGTTCCTATGACTCTACATGGATCCTAGGGTTCCTTTCAGGGTTCATATTAGGATTCTAGTAAGTATGGGGGCCGGGATAACGACCACAAGTATTCCTTCGGGTTTCTTACTAGGCTTAAACTTCAACATACCCGCAAACAAGAGTGTTAGTGCTTTCGGGGTTGCAGGGTTTCTGACAAGCTTCGGTGAGCCCAGCTAGGGCCCGTCGAAGGTAGGGCACCTGGCCCTATTCCAACCGATTCAGGCCCCGACTTAATGCGGGGTTCCTGTAAAGTACCCCTAGTAGTCTAGGGCCCCAAATTAGGGGATCTACTTTGTAGACTTGCAGGGTCATGGGACTTAGTAACTTAGTAAGCTTAGATAGTGAACAGGGGAACTTTAAGCTTTTTGGCCTTATATACTAGCTCTAAGCTTGAACTTTTTGGGGCCCGGCTGTTGAAGAAGGGAGCCTATACTAGAAGCCTTACAGAGTAGGGTTTCATAGGTGTAGGGCCTAGTAGGGCCACTATTTTACACATTCTTGGGGATTTAGGTAGACCCTAAACACCAAGGGTCCAAGTACCTAATAATCATATACCCTCCAATACCTGATCTAATCGAGCCACTATCCCAAAACCGAGTACCTAGTTATTGGGTCCTTTGGACCCTCAGTGACTCAGGGAAACCGTCCGATCTAAAAGGTGCGAACGTTCGTGGGCTGTCCATCGGCTTCATCCCTCCACCTGACGGTGCCGCAGCGCATGGAACTCGGCCGACTCGCTTCTTCAGTTCTGCAGGCCTTGGGTTCCTGAGGGGTTCCTTCTGGGGTTGCGATACGGGAGTTTCCGAAAATTAGGGGTACCCTATTTTGGGGTCCTTATAATAAGGATCCTACTGTTTAGGGTTCTGTATTGGGGTCCCCTATTTTCGGAAACTCCCATACTGGTGCCTATAGAAGGGTAATATAAGGCTTCGGGTTCAAATTCGGGGTTCGAAGAAGTAGCAAGTGTTTTGGCAGTGATCCTTAATTTGAGTACGCAACAAGTGCAGCAATGTATCCGCAAAGCCTTATTCCGATAATCAAGGCTCCTGTATTGGGGCAACGCTGGATTGATAAAGCTATTCGGGCTAAGATGCTCCGCAAGGTCAGTATCAGTAGTTCACGCCTGTATCGCAAACTCTAGCTTTATCCTTGGTAAACTGCTATCGTTCTGATTTCTGTAGGTTGTATTGAGTCTGATTCTTAGTATTTTTGTTGTTGCTTTAGACAATCGTCTTGTTCTTCTGGATTATCCTGACGTTCAGTACTTACTTGTGATCTTCTGGACTATAAATCATCATCATCATCATCATCTCCATTGTTGGTTAGTGCAAGGCAATCCAATAAACCTCAAGTCCGAACGATACCGGATTGTCGGATGGCTCTTTTGAGGGCTTGAGATTTCTATGTCGTGCGGCTTCTATCATGGATCCTACCACTTGGGGTCTTATGTTAGCCCATGTGAAACCGCAGCTGTGATCGTCACCGTTACCGGCTGCAGCAACTCAGGATTTCGAGTCTCGGGTGCGGGGTTTAGAGCTTGTGGTTTTGGGTTTGGTGTTTAACGGGTTTGGGGTTTGGGATGTAGTGTAGCGTTGATAGTTTCTGGTCTGGGGCACGTACTGACGTTCCGAGTGGATTGATGCATGAAACTGGCCGTGGTAAATGGCATGAATGTCGCAGCACTTGGCCTAAGTGCCACTTGCTTGCCTCTGGCGTGACCCACCTGCCGGGTTTTCACCAGTTAAGTAGCAGTGACCACAGTACACATGAACATACGCCATTGAACCCTATTCCAATTTAGGGATATTTCCATCAAGCACCTACTTCTGGTGTTTCTTCCCTCCCCCCCGATACCCTTGTCACAACAACCCCCTCTGTTCTTTAAGTTTTAACACATATTGTGGATGGCTCTCGGTGAACCCTAAACCCTAAACCACGAACCCCCAAACCTTTGAACGCCAAACTCCCTATTCCTTATCAACACCAACCATTCCATAAACCTAGAAGCATAAACCCAAAACCTGAAGCTCTTCTATTGATCCTTATAAACCTTCTTAGGAGCTCATGTAAACCCGTACAGGAACTCTTATACAGCCCAAATCGGAACTGCAGAAGAACCCTTGCCGGAACCCTTATAGGAGCCAAAGCTCTCCTTTCTCAGGCATGTCACGCCTTGCGGGTTCTTTGCGTTGGACTGACTCGGCCTGAGATCTCTTGCAGTTTAAAGTGTGAAGTGCTTGGGGGTTTGGGGTTTAGGCTTAAGGGTTAAGATGGGACCTACTAATTTGAAACGCTGCGCGTCGTCCGCCTCGGCCCGGCTGTACGCGCATGCGGCGAGTGGCTACTATCTGCAGCAAGCTCTTGTAGGAAAAAAAGTAACAGTTGGAATCGCACTTATAGTAAAAGTAATGTTCATAGCAACACGAAGCAGGATGATTGTGAGTAGTATTAGTAGTGGTAGTATCAGTGCAAATTTTGGTGTCGTCATTCCGAAACACTGGATACCAAGACTCTCGCAAGCGGCAGGATGCCTTAAGTATAGGCCGTTGAGGCTGTGGATTTCGTGGGCGTCTTGGATTAGGGAAGCATCACAGCCTTTTCAACCACGTTACTCCGCCTATCCCAACGAAAGGGCATCTAAAACAAGCCTGAGACGCAAAGCCATCAATTCGATACCAACATAGGGGCCCAAACAATGATTAAGACCCTGCTGGGGTTTTTTGAAAGAGTTAAAGTATATTGAAGTCATTAAGGCCTTGCAAGAAATAGAGACGGCAGCCATGCATGGCCGCAGGGCGGGGGAGGGGGGCGTCGTGCTTTCGGGTGCAGGTGTTGTCCGGGCTTTGAAAGTTTTTCAGGCGTTAGGGTGTAGGGTTAGGAATTCAGGTTTGAAACTCCCTTGGTACTGCAGCCTTACAGGCGAGCCCAAATTTTTCAGGCTGGGGTTAGGGTGTAGGGTTAGGAATTCAGGTTTGAAACTCGCTTGGTACTGCAGCCTTAAAGGCGAGCCCCAACACATAAAGATGCTACATTGCAGTCCCGTGTCGTCGAAAACTCCAGAAAGCTCGCACCTGTCAGCGAGCGGAGGAGGGGCGGGAGGGAAGGGGGGAGGGGGGGGAAGTGGGGGGAGGGGGGGGGAGGGGGGGCGAATTAAGAGTTTACAGAGGTTTGAGGTTTGAGCTTGGGTTCTTGTTAATGGAGATGGGTTTGGGGTTGCAGCTTGGAGGCCTTAGGTTAATCTGCACCGGCTGAACTCGTCCCCCAGCGTCCGCAACAAGTTCACAGGATTTTGTGTCGTCCTCCCATCGGTGCAGAGGTTGCTAGACCCAGTGCAAAATCGCAGAATGCAGCGCCACCGGTCATGACAGCATGCTGAGAAACGATGGGGTGATCTGTTTTTCAGCCTCTCCAGCAGACACCTCACCCTGTATAAACGCCTGAACAGCAAATGAGTCTTCCGATTCGTGCTTTCAGCCGGCTTCTTTGCGCTTTCGTGGCTTGTCTTGGAGAGAAGCATGACACGTCATGATATCCTCGCGAAGGAGAGGCGATAGAGTATGGATTCCTAAACCTCTTAAGCCCTGTGCCCAGGAAGCCCTGTAAGCCTCAAGCCCGAAACCCTAAACCTCGAAGTCCTAAGTCCTTCCATGCGAAACCCGACATCCTCTACGACGACAAAGAGTAGAGGTGGTGGTGGTAGTGGTAGTAGTAGTAGTAGTAGTAGTAGTAGTAGTAGTAGTAGTAGTAGTCGTAGTAGTAGTAGTAGTAGTAGTAGTAGTAGTAGTAGTAGGAGTAGGAGTAGGAGCAGAAGTAGTAGTAGTAGTAGTAGTAGTAGTAGTAGTAGTAGTAGTAGTAGTAGCAGTAGAGTCCTTAGGCCTCTAAAACGTCTTCAAAAAGCGTTGAACCCGAAGGCCTGCTTTGGCTCTAAACCTTAAGCCCCACACCTTTACAGAGTCCTTGCAGAACCCTCGTGGATCCTTTGTAGATCCCAAACCCTGAAACCTTATAGACACCCTAAAACCTTGAAGACATGCCTTATAGTTGCAATAATGAGAATAGTATCTCTAACATTAACAGTACCTTAACCTACCAAAGCCTACCTTTTTGTGGGTTCTTATTATAAACCCTAATATGGAATTTGTGGGGCCCTACAAAAAGGTAGGTTCTTGTAGGTCAAAATTCCCCTAAATCCTAAACCCTAAGCCCCTTTCGAAGGCCTGGGAAGGTGCTGTGAAGCATCAATTCTGCTACCGCCTGCTCTCGCATCAGAAGAAGCGGAAGCGAGGCCGCCGTAGGGTTTTGGGATGTTTTGGGTTATGGGATGTATGTTTACGATGTGTAGGTCTTGGGGTTTAGGTGGAGGCTCTCTGGTCCCAAGCTTGGGGTTGGGCGGTTTGCTTGGGACCAGTTATCGGTTCACTATAAGCGGTACTGTAAGGCCTACGATAGGCAAGGCGTCCTGGGTTTTGGGCTCTGGGGGTTTAGGGACATCCTGAGCTTGTGGAGGCGCAGCGCTGCAGACGCTGAAGTCGACTGTCTCAGAGGACCGTCGCTGCTGTCTGCGCATGCGGCGAGTTCTGCTGCATGCTGTACCTAGAGGCTCCAAAGTAGTTCCTTTTTGGGATTCCCTTATAGGATTCTATATATGAACCCCAAAAAGGAACGACTTTGGAGCCTTTAGGTAAACCCTAAACCTGCATCGGCTTTCCCAGGACTCGGAGTCTTCCGACTACACCGAAGACGGAGGGCTGTCAAGCAGCCCGCTCCCGCAGGCATCGCATCTAGCATGAGAAGGAGTCCCTTGAACGAGCCCTTACAGGAATCCGTACAGGTACGCTTAAAGGAACCCTCGAAGGAACCCTTAAAAGAATCCCGAACCCTCGGTTTCCACAGGGTTTTAGGATGTAGAGGTTTGGGGATCAGCCCTATAATGGGCTATATAATGGGTATATAATAGCTATATTAAGGGTATATACCTAGGAGTCCTTATTAAAGAACCCTAAACCTTAAAACCCTAAAACCCTAAACCCTAAACCTCAAACCCTAAACCCTAGACCTTAAACCCTAAACCCTAAACCTTAAACCCTAAACCTTAAACCCTAAACCCTAGACCTTAAACCCTAAACCCTAAACCTTAAACCCGAAACCTTAAACCGTGATTCCCCCCTGGTAGCGCTCCGGGCTCTGAGGCCTCACATCTGCAAGCTGTTACGGGATGGCTGGAGCTGCCATGACCTGAGCGGTTTGGGATGCTTTACTTAGGGTTCCCTAAAGGGTTCCTTAAGGGGCTCCTTAAAGGGTTCTGTAAGGGATGTATAGGGGTTTAGGGAGCTGCCATGACCTGAGCGGTTTGGGATGGGTTCGTTAAAGGGATCTATAGGGTTCCTTAAAGGGATCTATAGGGTTTCGGGTTTAGTATGGTTTACTTGGAGGAACATGGGACTTAGTAAGTAAGGTTATAAGTCCCCTAGTTGAATGGAGTTATAAAGGATAGATACCCTATTCATAACCCTGGTTACTAAGTCCCATGATCCTCCAAGTAGGGTTCAGGTGTTACACGCATTGAAAATCGCAACCCTAAGCCCTAAAAGGTGCTCCTCATCTGAGGCGGCCTTCGGCCTGCTTTTCCGTGCGGAGGGAAAGGGGCCATTACACTTTTTTAAAAAATAGCCCTAAGGGTCCATGTACCCAGATAGTGTATATGTGTATATATATATATATATATATATATATATATATATATATATATACACATATTTTTATTTATTTATTTATTTATTTATTTATTTATACACTTTGGGCCCAATGTACCCATATAGGGAGTACTTTAAGGCCAATGTATATACTATTTGGGTACATGGACCCCTAGGGTAAAGTACCCGTGTCTGCGCCGAGGCCCCCGATTTCTGACGATGTGAAGCGGTTGCGCCAGATGCCTGAGGCAAGCTCTGGGGCCCTGATTAAGAAACCTTGGGGGCCTTTATTAAGGCTCCTTATATGAATCCAAGTATTTTGGAGGCTTTAGTCCCAGGGTGTCTTAATCAGGTTCCTAGGTTTAGGAGTTCTGGGTTTCAGCATCAGGGTGTCGCTTCCATGGTCCTGACTTGGACAGAGCAGCTCTATCTCGATTTGCTTCTTATTGTTATTGCTATTCCGCTCCCTCTGCTGATTATAGTATAGTTGTTCTACTGTTCTTTTTGTGTAGTATAGAACCGATTGGTCTAAAGAAGGTCTTACACTGGCGCCGACAGTGTTTACAGCATCACGCCAGGAACATGTCGGCGAGACAGAGCAGGCAAGCATCATACCCTCCCAAACCCTAAACCCCTGGCTTTAACCAGACACTGCGTACCGGGAGCAATCTTAGCATCCTAACATGAAGCCCCTCAAAGAGAAGGGGCCTTCACAGCAAAGGGTCTACATCATTTTTTAGGGTCTATAGTTTATATGGTTCAGGGTAGCGCATGATACCCCAGAACCCTGTCCAAAATATTCAGGCCTCCACCCAGAGAGCCCAATACCCCTTCATTACGGAATATAGCTTGAGTCATAAGGGGATTTATATTTATGATTTAAGCTATATTCCTGAATTAGGGGGTATTGGGCTCTCTGGGAATGTCACGGTCTTCACGAAAGCCCAGCGGCGCCGTGAGGCAGTAGGAAGCGAAGCGGAGCTTCTGGGTGAGCTCACGCCTCAGGCTTTGTCGTCCTGCCGACTCTCCAAACGTTTGGGGTTTACCCATAGGCCCCAAAGTAGTTCCTTTTTGGGATTGCATTATCGGATTCTAAATAATTACCAGGACCCTCCTTGTACCCTCAAATAGGGGTATATGGTCCCAAGTAAGGGGCATTTAGGGTCTAATACAGGGTAGATGGAGGGTCCAGGTACTCTCCAAACGTTTCGGGTTTAGGCGGCATCATCTAGGGTTTATATGCTTACTTGGAAGATCATGGGACTTAGTAAGTTAGGTTATAAGTACCCTAATTGGAGTTAGAAGTATAGTTACCTTATTTATAACCCTACCTTTACCCTAAGTAACCTACCTTTTTAGGGACTTACATAAAGAAATCATATTAGGGGGGCCCCAAATAGGTAGGTTCCTTAGGGTCTAAGTAGTTACTGAGTCCCATGATCCTCCAAGTAAGCCCAATACTACACTGCTAAACCCTATGGAAGGCCCACGGCCCCAAAGCCCCAAACGGGTTTTGGGTTTGGGTCCGTCCTAAAGCCCAAATCCTAACCCTGTGCCTCCAGGGACCTTGTTATGGGGTCCTTAAGGTGTCTAGGGCCCTAGCTATGAGGTCCTTGGAGCGATAGGGTAACTATAGGCCTTCTAGAGCCTGATAGAACGCCTGCAGGACCCCCCAGAATCCAAAACAACCCCTACAACACCCCAATGCCAACCTAAAGCCACAAACCAAAAAGCACTGTCACAGAACCTTCATTGAATTCTAAAGTAACCGTTATAAGTAGTACTCTTATAGTACCCTTAAAGGAACCCTCAACCCTAACATATGTAAAGCCGAGGCCAGAAGAAGCTTCGTGCCTCGCGGAATTTACTCGGCGTCTCTCGCCCATGGAGTGGCAGCGGCTCGCCTGGCGCCAAAGCCTCAAAGCAGGGACGTAACAAAGCTCCCCATCTATAGCAAACCTTGGCAACGAGAGTCTTCGCAAAATGGAGCTTTGTACCATTTCGTATGGCTTTGAGAAGGTCTTTGATGGTTCATGTTGCCGTTGTCTGGTGTCCGTGTTAGGAGTCCCTTTTGCATCAACTCCCCGGACGATCAACAGCTCGAGTTTCTGTTTCGGTGGATGTGCGTCGAGTGGTCGTGGCCGTTTTGGTTTGCTCGCAGCTCTGAAATACGCCGTCATAGGCGAAGGGCAGAGTGTCAATTATATTGTGTTTCTGGGCGTATCCTGCTGCAGACATGCTCTGGCTTGTGTGCACAGCTCATTCGAGGTCACTATCACCAGCGGCAGGAGGCCACACGCACATCCAGCATCTCATCGATTGACAGTTTCGGGTCGAGGCTTTTAGGAATTCTGTTGAAAAAGCGTTCACGATGTTTGGCATGTTAGCGCACTCGTTTCTGCGAGCGTTGCTCGTTACACGAAGCCAAAACCCTCAACGCCTAAGTTCCGAAACCCCTAAAACCTAAACCCCTAAGTTCCGAAACCCCTAAAACCTAAACCCCTAAGTTCCTAAACCCCTAAAACCTAAACCCCTAAGTTCCTAAAACCCTAAAACCTAAACCCCTAAGTTCCTAAAACCCTAAAACCTAAACCCCTAAGTTCCTAAAACCCTAAAACCTAAACCCTGAACCGTTCTTGTGGCAGGAGTTCTTCGACCCCGGCGAGCGGGACCGTGACGTATGGGCCTCGATGGGCCTATTACAGGGGCTTTGATAATCGCCAGTACTATTTTGGGGGTTCCTTATTATGATTATAGTATAATGGGCCCCCAGACCCTATTCTAATTATCGAGGCCCGTGTTGTCCTTTTTTCGGGACCCCTTTGAGGCCTAAGTATCTGCTATATGGGCACATGGAGTTTTACAGATCCTTACCGATCTTATCAAGGCCGGTCGGCCAGAGCGGAACATCAGCAGAACACCTGATAACTCTCAACCCTAAACCCTAAACCGCACTGCTAGCCAGCTCGCAACACGGGTAAATATGGCGGGATGCAGCTTACACAGGCCCGTGCTTCGGGCACCCCTTGGGGATTTAGGGTTCGGTTTAGGGTTTACAGATTTAGGGCTTAGGGGCTCCCCTCATGTCAAGAATGCCGAATGCCCCAGAAATCTGCAGCTGCAGAGGCGGCTCGACTTTCGTGACCTCTCCCGTTGAATCTTGCAGGGTCGACGGAATTCAGGGCCTAAGCGGGAGTTTCCGAAAATAGGGGTACCTTATTTAGGGGTCCTTATAATAAGGATCATACTATTTGGGGTACTATATTAGGGTCCCCTATTTTCGGCAACTCCCAAATAACATGGATCTATTCACCAAGGAACAAGCCTCAAACCGCTTGTGGACATCCATGTCTTCCTTAGGGCGAGTCGACGATGGAGCTTACCAGTCAGCCAGCAGCTTAAACAGTGTGAAGCATGTGTCGATCGGCGAGTTTCGTCGGCTGCCACAGTGGTCCGACGTTTTCCGCCTTTGGGTGTTCATCCAGCTCTTCGGAACTGCCCATGATAAGGTGCCTGATTCAGAAGGTACAGCTACAAACAATGGCTGGAAGGTTAAGGAATCCTTCCAACGACTTCCGGGATGATGTGGGGGGGGGGGGGGGCCTTGGAAGTAGTCAAGAGGCACGGAAAGGGGGGTATGTAGTAATAGGGGCTATGAAGGATTAGTTGAATTTGTATTCCTTCACGGGCCCTGTAGAAATGTGCTGGAATCCCATTCCGTCTATGCAGTCTATACAGGCCCGTATAGCCAATACTAGGGCTCGGACTAGGATTTGCTTTGTCATGCTCCGAATCATGATCGAAAGCTCACAACCGGAGTGCTTTCATTCCCAGCCAGCCCGAGCGTGTTGGGTGGGGGTTTAGAGCTTAGCGCTTATGGTGTCTGGAGCTTAAGGTTTAGGGTTCATGAGATTTGGGGTTTAGCGCCCATGGGGTTTAGACCATGGTCAAGAGATTTGACACACGAGCATTTCTGAACTGGTAATGCCAGGAACCTTCGACAAATGAACCCCAAGGGCCCATGCACCCAATAGTATAGACTTTGGGACCAATCTACTTATGCACCATATAGGGACTACTTTACGGCAAAAGTTTTTACTATTTGGGCACATGTACCCTTAGGGGAAATGCGATGCTGAGGTTCCAGACGTCAATGTCAGTCAGAAGCACACCGAGTCAGGTGAGCTGCGCATGCCAACGTCTCAATTCCAGGGTTTAAATATTGGGGCCTGAAAGGGATCTATAAGGGTTCCCTGAAAGGGATCTATAAGGCTTCCCGAGGGGTGTAAGGGCCCAAATTACCGATACATGTCGCGGGGGATGTCTTATGATAATTATAGTATAATGAGCCCGAAGACGCAATTCTGATAATTAAGGCCCCTATCTATAGTGGGTTTAGGGTTCTTGTGCGAGGGACAGCCGTTGCATGTCGCGAATTGCACCGTCTGGGCAGGCTGCCGCTGACTTCCCTGACGCCAGGCAGCGCTGTCTGTGCATTCAGGGGCAAGTGAGCCGCAACTGCTGTGAAATTAGCTTGCTAAGCTCCGGCATGCAGCCTCCACTTGCCACCTCATGCCGAAATCCCTGGATACGCCTGCACCTTCACCCACGACGCAATGGTCGCAGGCAGTCGATGATGTCTACAGGCGTCGGCCCTGGAAAGTTCAGCCCAGCGAGTCAGCCAAGACCCTGATGCCCTGAACCCCTAAGCTTTAAAAACTCCGAAAGCCGCAGACCCCTAAACAAGCCCCTAGGCCTAAAGCCCCCCGGCCCCCCTACCCGAAACCGCTACGACCCCTAACGCTATACCCCACTGAATGCTGTAACTTCGTCATTGGATCGAGGCAACAGCTCCTCGAAATCACGTGCTGACAAGAAGGATGTTCCCTTCCGCCTTCGTCGTGACCTTGGACATCAGCATGGTAGAACTCCTTTCTAAAACCCTAATCCGTAGCATCATGTAATTCATTAAGTGCCTCGGTTTTGTAGGGCACACGGTTCAAGGATTTAGTTTCTAGGATCAAGAAGGGTTTAATTCTTGACCTTGGCGGAGCTAGCCTCCCTCAGAGGCTCAACTCACAGCGTGGAGTGGCGGGTGCGCGTGTCGGACGGCATTCGCGACGGCCTTAGACAGCAACGATGCGACTTGTTGCATGTTTGTAAAACAAAAGTTGAACTCTGAACCCTACACCCTACCCTTAGGGCCCAAAGTAGTTCCTTTTTGGGATTACTTTATAGGATTCTACATACGAACCCCAAAAAGGAACTACTTTGGGGCCTTAGGGCAGACCCTGAAGCTGTTCTGTGACAGCCGTGCCCTTCTTTCACCTGTCCAAGTCCCACCAGTCCTTTCCTCAAAGCTTAACACCCGGTAACACCCGTATGTAATCTGTACTTGACTTATTTCCTTGGGGCTCCGAAAAGCCCAAAGCTTTAGGCCCCAAAGTAGGTACTATTTGTATACTTGGAGCCTAGGGTATAGATCCCGAGCAGGAGCCCTTAAAGGGAATCTTCGGAGAACCCTCGCGGCAAGGCTGGTCAGACTGGTCTGCACCGTCGGAGCCTGCCGGGATGGTGCCACCCATTCCAACACTCTCAGGGTCACGCCCTTGGAGCTACAACTTCGGGTTTAGGGTTTAGGGTGTTTCTGATTGGTGTGATTTGGTACCATTATCATTGCTAGTATGAGCATCATTGAGGGGTTCTTTCGGGATTTCAGGGGTCCTTTCAGGTTTATGTATGGGTTTAGGGATTTGGAGTTCCGTTCAGGGCGTTACGTATATAACTCTCGGAGGGGTTTCTGAAAAGGTCACGCAGGGGGATTCGTTTGGCTACTCGTGGGGGCGGTTTAGGGTTTACGGCGTGTGACTTGTGGGCTTTGCTTTTTAGGTGTTTAGGGCGAAAACATGGGAAGGCTTATCCAGGTTCGGAAGGCTTAGACTGCATGAAGCCTCCATGCGCCGAACCTTAAGCCTTTGATAAACCATCTCTGCCGCTAAACCCTGAACCGTACAAACTTCACAGCCTCTAAACTCCAAGATATAAATTGCCCTGTATAGTAGCCTTTGTAGTAGCGTCCTTTACAGCCCCTCAATGCAACCCTTAGTCCCGTAAGCCGTAAGCCTTATAAGCATTGCAAGCCCATAGAACCTTTGTGGAACCTGGTAACCTGTAAAGAATCGTAAACAATGAGTGAGTGAGTGAGTGAGTGTCGACCAGCACTTACGGTGCGGCCTACCTCCCACGTCCCTCTCAACATCTCAGGGGGGCTCCGCAAGCGTCATCGCCTCCCTCCGTCCCAGAGTTCAAGTGGGGGAAAAACTAGCTAGTGCAGACAGGTCACGGTGTAGAATACTAAGGTACATGTTTCAAACCCAAGAATCGGAGAGGCATAGTCCTTGTTCAGGGATAAAGCAGGCAGGAGGCCAAGCCAGACGTCACCAACCGATAATATTTATGCTTGTATGCACCAAAGAACACACCAAGTAACCGGCAGCAGACGCAAAGAGTTGAAAGGGGGCGAACCGTGCGGCCAGTGCCGAGGGAGCGAGGCTCCATGCACAGAGGGCACACACAAGGCGACCCAAAGGCGTGCGCCATGTGCCGAGGGAACACTGTTCCAGCACCGAGGGCGAGCACGCCACCAATCAGGTACAGTAAATGAACATGCACACCACCGCGGCAATGAACAGCACAGAGGCGCAGCCCTGGAACAAGGCCGATAACAAAGGTAGCAATCCAGGGAGTTGTTAATGCATATGATGAGCGTGGAATACCTCACATATACACTGAATGTCCTCAGGCCCATAATGGGTGGAGACGTCGGCATCGCCGGATCAGTTGCAACAGCAGTTGAGCCAGAATACTAGAGGGCACTGTCGCCCTAGCACAGGGGAGGGGGGGAAAGGGGGTGCTCATCGGGCAAGAGCCCTTAGTGCCGCCGCCCGGGGTCCACACCTTTCCACAAGAAACCCCCGCCCCAAAGAGAGTGCTAGGCCCGGGGGAATCGTAAACAATACAGAAACTCTGAACCCCCAACCTTGAACCCTAAACCCTAGTCCTATTCAAAACATCATAAGGCCCCTGGACTAGATTCCTAAGCTGCATAACGCCGCTGTAGAGCCTATTAGCCCTTTAACAGAGCCCTTCAAAGAAAACCTTGCTGGGCCCCTGTGAGACCGGTCCGGTTGTTCTTCAATCGCCGTGAGCCGACGATTCTTCGAGTGGATCGGGGCTCAGAGAAGATGAAAGCCATGGTTTCAACAGGCGTTTACGGTAGAAGCCAGAATGCTCTTAAGTCATCCTAAGTCAATGTTCCAACTTTCTGGTGTTGACTATAGGGGTCGGGCCTGGAAAGAGTTTGGGGTTCGGGATTTGCGTGCACAGGTGTTTTCTCGGGGTCTGGAGCAGCTATAGAGAGTTCTCTAGGACATGTTCTGAGGGTTTTTCGAGGGTTGCGCATGAGTTTTAGCGGTGTTGTGAGTTGTGCTGGCTTCACGTGTTTAACATGGCGGATTCTTACCAGGTTCTGAAACATCCACAACCCTAAACCCTAAACCCCTAAACCCTAAACCCAAAGCCTAAACCCAAACCCCAAACCCTAAACGGCGCAAGTTGCGACCCGGGCAGGCAGGGGGAGGCCAGACCTGGACACCCTATGCCCTATAATTCTTAGGGACCCCAAAAGGACATATATAAGCATAAGCATCTTATGGGGATATCCCTACCTTATACTATTGGGCTTCATTGTAAGGGGGTTTATACGGGAAACCCTTGTCCTCAGCGTTGCTTGCCATGACGCCGTCAACCCTAAAGCCTCAACGAAACCAGACATCTTCATAGAGAAAGCTGACTAACTTCCAGTAACTAGTATTCCTTGGGGCTCCGTGTTATACTTCTACTAGAATCTGCCCCGAAGCCCCGTTCAACTATGAGGACTACTGTAAGCCTAAACCCTGAAGCCTTGTGTAGCTGACTTAGGTCTGGAGCGGTTGCGAGCCGCTCCAGGGATACGAGCATCTGATGGACAGCATCGAGTACTTGCTGCTGCTCGGCTTCGGGTTAGAGCGTTAGGGTTTAGGGCCCACTTAGGGCTCACCAGTGCCAGACGCCACTCATGAGCAACTGGACTCAGTGCCATGTGCAGATTCCAATTGCAACTCGAGTCGCTGAGCCAAATCTAAACTATAAAGCTCCCCGACTCTAAACCCCGAAACCGTAAAGATCCCAGAAACCCCTTAATTAAGGAATATGCGTTAAATTATCCTAGGACTCCTAATATGATTTCAGGTACAAACCCTACTTAATGGGTTTTGTGGTCTCTGGGGGGACCCGGATAAACGGGAAAGACCCCAGAAACCCATTGGAAGATCATGGTTTTGCAGGTATCTCAGCATTGACGAGGAGAGTGGGAGCCAGTTCATCCAGGCCCAGCGACCTAAGCACGAAGCCCCAAACCCTTCAAGGACTGTAACTCCTAAATAGCTTTAGCTTTTAGTATCCTTAGAAATTTATGTGTTTGTTCTGATTATTACAAAAATGTTAGTTTTAGTTAGGTTCAAAGGATGCTTAAGAAAGCGGCTAAGTTTTAATGCGGGCTCTCGAAGAACGCTAAACCTGGGTTTGTGGCGTTTAGAGTTTTCGGTTTAGGACAATCATTCCAGGTTCCCTGCACCCTAAACCGCGGTTGCTGTGACCAGTAAATGTCTTGATTTACTGGTCAGGGTTTACGTTGAGTAGGTCGGGATTCGGGTATCTCACTGTTGCTTGTATTTCGGTGGAACCTGTTTCTGTTCATCTGAGTAGGTGACCATGTTGATATTTAGTTCATTGCAGACGCGATATGGGAGTTTCCGAAAATGGGAGGCCCTAATATAGTACCCTAAATAGGAGGATCCTTATTGTAAAGACCCCGAAATGAGGTACTCCTAATTTTCGGAAACTCCCATGTGAGCGGTACCCACGGTCTATGCATCATGCAGAAAATGCTTCGGCCGTTGCCCTTGACTCAGATTGTGCTGCTTGTCTCATCGCTTCTGCATGCTCGCTTGTCAGTGTGTCCCTACCCATGTCCGGAAGGTCTTGCATTATCAACTTGTATCTCTAGTAAATCTTCCGGCTATGGCTATCCATGATGCCCGTCTGACCCCGACAGGAGGAAGGCAACTTTGATGTTCAGAAGTTGCACAGACGCGGGGTCTGCACCTCAGTCTTTCGGTTGGGGCGCTTGGAAGCAATTGTTAGACTTTGGTTACTGCATCCTAAGAAACTGTTGCAATTTTAAGTTTTAGCAGCGGTACCAAGTTCAGTATAGTCTTAAGTTGGGGGGACGGGCGGTCCACTTGCACTTTCAGTGAAATCGTGTCGTCCCACGGCATGGCATGCTGTGCTCTGAACCCTGAACACTATACGCCCTAAAACGTGTAAATCCTAAACCCGGTTTTCTTCACTCTGCAACCTTTAAGCCCTTAACCTTATCAGCCCTACAAGCGCAAGACCAGGTATACCTCTCAGATGGCTCTTCTGGATGCCTCCTTCCCTTCGAAGAGGACGGTGGAAACCGACCTGTGTACATATACATGTAGATGTATGTATGTATGTATGTATGTATGTATGTATAAATGTATAAATGTATGTAAATATGTGTACATTTATGTATATACATAGAATATATGTATGCATTTATATATATATATATATATATATATATATTAATACATATACATATACATATACATTAGTGTAGGAGCCTCAGTAAGTGGAGTAGAACTAGGGGGTAGATTATACGGTATTTAGATGCAGGAACCCCTTCACCTAGGCTTCCTTAAAAACGGATCTCTAAAAGGTTCTTGAGGGCTTCTATAAGAGATCTACAAAGCTTAGGGTCTAGGAAGTCCCGACCAAAACTCGAGAAGGTCAGAACTCGAATCCCCCTAACTGGTTTCCCGTAGTACCCTTTGTGTGGAGGGCCCTTGATCAAAAAGTCGAGAAGTAGGACAGAGGGTTATACCAGGACCCTATTTTAAGCACTTGTAATGCCTTATTCCACCCTTAAACAGGAACCATTAGGGGAATCCTATGCTAATTCTATCTAATCCTAAATATTCAGAAGCCATATAGCTCCCATACAGAGGCCCCAAAAGAGTCTTTAGAGATCCCTTTGCATCCCAATTATTCACCAGAAAGTTGGAGCATGACTATCCCCATGCCCTTAAAGTAGCGTATTTTTTAATGGTGTTCAGCAAAGTCCTTGTTATAGAATCCTGTAGTACCCTTTCAGGGGGACCCTCTTCTGAACTCTAACGCTTAAGACCCTTCAGCCCTCACTTCACTATAGCAGGTTTAGGGAGAAGACTCTATAGAGGCCTTTCAAGCCGCTATGCCACCTTTGAACACCCGAAAACCCCTGAAACCCTAAACCCAAAAACCCCTAAACCGCTAAACCCCTAAACCCCTGAAGCCCTAAACCCCTAAACCCTAAAACCCCTAAACCCCTAAACCCCTAAACCCTTTCAGCCTTTTCAGGAAGGGAAGGAGACTCCGAAGTTCGACTTCGAGAGCGTTTTCTCCGATAAGAGCCAGCCGTGCGCTCGGAAAAAAGCAGCGTTTTTTGTTGTCCCAAACCCTTCAATTAAGGAATATACCTTAAATCTAGGGTTTAGGGTTTGGGGGTTTAGGGGTTGAGGGTTTTCAGGGTTTGGTGTTTAGGGATTTAGGGCATCAGGGTTTAGGGTTTAGGAGGGTTCCATGCTCTATAAAGTTCTTACAAGGTTTTGTGGGGTTCTGATAGGGTTTTAGAACGGTTCTACAAGGGTGCGGGCACACAGGGCGACGCGTTACTTTGCATGCTAAAGAGTGTAGGGAACGGAGGATTTCGGCGTTTTGCAGATAAAATCAGCACTGTTTGGACAAGATGTCACCCAGCAATGCTAATGTTTGTAGTCATCATCATCATCATCATCGCCATAACCACTTCCTTACGCACGATGTTGTGCAAAGAGGCAACAACGTTGTAAGTAGAAGTGTATTGGGCATGCTGGCACAAGGCTTCAACGCTTGGCACGGTGTGTCAACGTCATTCATCCTTCTGCAGTACGCTGTGGGAAATAACGCTGTAAATACCATTGTTTTGGGCATGGCAGAACCGACGTCATTATTCCTCCATCACCCCCACCCCCTTCCATGGAATAATTCGAAATGTCTTGAACATGCTGCCAGAAACTCAGGATGGCAACCACTGTGCAAACTGTGCTTACGCGAAAATTTTTGGTTGGGCCTCCTTGAACACTTGTTGAAGGTGCAGGAACGCCCGAATACAAGGGTCACAGGCCTTGCCTGCGAGGAACCAGGGAATACCAAGAGGACACGAGGCTTCTAAAACATGCTGCTCGTTACAGTGAACACTAAGTGCAGGATCTTTCAAAACTAGGGTGATATATAAGGTTACTATAGTCCATTAGCGAACCCGCAGCTAAGGCAATTACTTGTAGCTGTACTTGCTAAGCCCCATTAACTTCCAAGCGATGGGTTCTCCCCGAAACGCGAAACACTGTCGGCTGTGACAACGGAGCGAAACTGCGGATGACTGCGGTGTCTGAGTGCCGTTAAATAGCTGCACAGTTCTCATAGAGGTCCACATCCTATGTTATGTTGGTCTCTTGTTGTTCACTGTTTGAGTCCCTGCCGAAACTAAGTTCAATACTTGGCTTGAGGTCGGATAGTCAGCTTGATGCATGACTGAGATACAACCGGCCCGGATCCATGCAGCAATCATCTTCACCTAGTGCCTGATCCTAGTATTGGACAGTGAATCCAAGGGTAAAAGGCGGGACCCTTAATAAGGACCCCTAGGTATATACCCTTAATATAGCCATTATATACCCATTATATAGCCCATTATAGGGTAGGGGTCCTGATTAAGGGTCCCTCCTTTTCCCCTTTGAGTGAAGCTACCTGCTGGATCAGCTCCGGGGGGTCTGGGCAAGGAAGCGCCTTCTGGGCAAGTTCAGGCAGAAAGAAATCAGGCCGGGCCCTCAGTTGCAAGGTCGAACATCCTAGCAGTAGAGTAGCTACTTGGAGGATCATGGGACTTAGTAACTAGGGTTATAAATAAGGTAAGTATACTTATAACTCCAATTAGGGTACTTATAACCTTACTTACTAAGTCCCATGATCCTCCAAGTAACCTTTAACATTTTTTGGGTAGTATAGTCCCTATGTAATCCCTATATAACCAATACGTTAACCTTTAGTTCCCCATGATACCCGACAAGTAGGACATAGTACCACGATGCGCTGGGGCATGCTTTTTGGGGTACCTTCTGCTGCAATTTTGCGGGGACGACAAGGGCAGTGTACGCTAGTATAATTACTAGTGATTCCGACCCCTGCAGTAGCGGGTAGCGTTTATAAGGGTCAAGTTGGGGCAAGTGCGTATCCCCAACGTATGACGATCCAAGAAATACTAAATCCGGAGCCCTAGCTCACGAAACAAACTTAACCTGCAACTATATGATTACGTATTCAATAAGGTAGTTGTTTATATTTACTCGCAGCTGTTTGTTGATATTGACTGCTTGACTGATTGTTCGACATCACACAGCTAGGACTCGTCTGTGCTTTCCCCTTTGCCCAAGTGCGGGCGTAGCAGTTTCTGGTCACAAGGACAGTCCGTGCCGACAGCGCTGACGGCGACGATCAGCTGTCCTGGCCTGCTTGGAGTTTACCTGAACCCCCAAAAGTAAGTAACATAAATGCCCACGTCTATGAAACGCTATTGCTCCTCATACTTTTGTGGTCCAGGTATAGGGCCTGAGCTGTCCTGACCTGTCTTTGTTGGATCTCTTGTGCATCGGAAGCCCCGTATTTGGCCGTTGAGCACACTCGGCGGCAAAGTGGACAGCCAGTCATGCAAAACCCCGCCATATCTAGGTTCTCCAGTAGTACCCTTTTGCCCTTTTTCTTTTTGGGTACCCTTATTGGAACCAAGCACCAGGAAAAAGGGTACCCTGATTATTACGCGCTACTGGGAAACCTAGAAACCCCTCCAGAAACCCTGTAGAAACTCGACTGCTACAGAAACTATCCGAGACCCCCTTGAAGCCCCTTAAAGCCCCCTTTCAAGCCTCTTCAAAGCCCCCTTTGAAGCCCCTTTGAAGGTCCCTTTAAAGACCATGACAATAAGTATAGTTACCCTACTTATAACCCTACTATAACTACCCATGAACCTCCAAGCAGAGACTCTAAACAAGACAGGTCGGCTACTGTCACAGGCTTCGACCTGATGGTAAGTGGGTGGCAGCCTCAGCGGCCCAGGCAATGCATGGATCTCGCGACTGTTGCGTTTAGGGATTATAAGGGTTGAGGGTTCAGTGTTTAGGGTTGAATTTCAGGGTTGAATCTCGGGATAGGTAGGAGAGAATCGCAACTCCTCATCAACCCGCTACAAACTTCTCACCCCAGCCTTCCTATCAGACGGGTCGTTTGGGCCTCTTCTCTGATCTGTGACAACTTAAAGAAGGTCCCTAATTATACTTACAGGCTCCATGACTGGGATCCCAGAGGGGCCATATACACTACTATCATGGGAAATAGGTCCCCAAAACCATAATTTAATGGGGATGGTCTCTGGGGACCTACCATAATGGCAGTGTTTATGAGCCCTCTTGGGATGCATGGAGCTCTTGACACTTCGCACGAGCTGAGGTTGAAACCCCACTGCTTGCACCGCATCTCGGTGTGCGTGCGCTGCGCGGTGGAGGGTTTGCCGGAACCGGATTGGCAGCGATTGAAGCCCGGGAACCCAGCTCCTCCCAACATAGAATCATCTACTATTTGCTTAAGAACCCCAAAAAAATAAAAAATGATAATCCCTATATTATCCCTATAAGGAATATATATTTAATTTTTGGTGGTTCTTAAGCAAATAGTAGTCATGCAGTCTCGAGAAGGAGATAGAGGGCATAGTCCACATCAGGCATGTGAGGCCCAGAGACCAGACCTGAATGTTCCCTGTCATGCCACGGGCTCAAGACACAGGGAATCAAACAGTGCAGAGTGACGCTTGCAGCATGGCCAAACTATCGCGCATTCTTACCATGATCGACATCGAAACATCAAGCATGCAGCTAGCAACTGGCCTCTGCATTCCAATCAGGGGCCTGAACATTAAGCATGCCTCGCAACTCCTCACCTCAAGGATATTCTAGCATACCCCGAAACCCATAGACATTAAGCACTCAGCCCATCAAGGACCCTGCATTATATAGCTTGCTTTTTTCAGCCTAAAGGGCAATCCGCAGCCACATTCGGACAGAGAAGCGGCCAGACGGCACGGCTTCACAATGGCGCCAGGCTCATTCTTGGGCTCTGGTTTGGGGTTGAGGGGGGTTAGAGTTTCGGGCTCAGGGATTAGGGTTTGGGGTTCAGGGCTTATAGTTTGGGGTTATGTCAAACCCAGCGTGAAAAGGGTCCAAAGGAGCCAACAGTTGGGTACTTGGGTTTATCTCAGTATTTGGGGGAGTATACCATGGTAAGGAGCCCTATAAGAAACCCACTGGCAACCCTTCAGACCTTCTGAACCGCTAGCGAATAAACACAGAAAATGTACAGGCCCGGCTGCTCTGCTGACAAGGCGTATAACAGCACAAAACTACGTCAGAGAATTCTACCACACCCATGGCAGCCGTGAAAACCCAGACTATGCAAACCTGATTCACTAAGCCCTGTTTCAATCTCTTGCAAAAATCTTCTTGGAGGACCATAAACAATGTAACTATAACTTTAATCACGTCTAATCCGAGTTAAAGTCAGTAAGGTTGTAAATGCCTTAACTGGGGTGATAACTAAGTAAAAGTAATTAATGTTACTCTTACTTACAAGTTCACTTATTAAGTCCCACAACCCTAAAGTAAAAGCCAGAAAGTTGGAATATGGTTATCCTAAACCCTTTATGGTAAATTATAAGGTATCCTACCCTGAAACCATATTCCAACTTTCTGGAGTTCCCTTTAAACCCTATAGACCCTAAATCCCCACAGCCGAATCCTCCATGTCGTGCCAGGAATCGGCCCGACAGCTGGCTTGGCCTACTTCTACAACTTAGATCGCTTCAAGTTCGATGCAGAACTCTGCCCTTTCGGGGGGTTAGGGTTAAGAAGTTTAGGTGCAACTTAGATCGCTTCAAGTTCTGCAGTGAAGCCTTGTTTCGGGGCGTGGTTGAAATTCAGAAGAAGTTAGGTCTGGGATTTGGCGGGCTTGTTGGGTGGGGGCCATGGCAATGGTTTAGGGTTTAGTGCGCCGCACAAGAGCCGAGTGTAGTGGTAAGTTGTAGGAAGTTGTCGTTGACGTCCGGTACGGCGCTTGCTTGCATCAAATCAGGAACAGCGACAAGATTGCATTCACCAAATGCAGAACATGCGCTTGGCACAATGGGGACTCTTTCGCGAAGATGTCCGGGATGTGTTTCAGCTTTCGACATCGAATCCCGGCTGCTCTGGAAGTTCATGCTTTTTGCAGATTCGCTTTTTTCCTAAACCCCTAAACCCTAAAAACCCTAAAGCCCTAAACCTTGAACCCTAAACCGTAAGGCCAAGAGGGCCTCCATGACCACCCGAGGAATATGGACAACTACATCTTGGTTGGTGCGCTTATCGTGACGGCAGTGATGAACTTTATCTTCGTGGGCTATCCAGAATTCCCTCTGGAACCTCGTTGGCTTCTCTTGCTATGGAATAACTGCATCTGGGTTCTGGTTCATGAACTTAGTTTGCCGATTTAAGTTCCCATGGTAAGAACCGCAATTGGTTTACCCACATGACGTTTGGTTGGTAACTTATTGCAAGCGCCACGACTCTATGAACCATAAATCCTAAACCCTAAAACGTACAGAACGGAATGAAATCTTCTAAGGCCGCCACATAAAACAAACCCGCAGGTCCATCTGCCCTCAATTGCCCTGATCGACCCCCATATACAGCCCATATGCAGCTGCATACACGAAGAACCCTAAACCCCAAACCCCAAGTTTAACCCTCAACTAGGTGTCTTTGCCTGCATTTTCTTCGGGATGGTAACTGTGTGGCTGGCTATGCATGGCTCCATCGCTCAGCGCTCGGCTAGAGTGAAGATGCCGGGCTTGTGTTTATGGTATAATGTTTGGGGTTTTGTTGAGGTGCTTGGTTTAAGTGGCCCAAGCAGCAGGAGAAAGAGATGAATAGATTTCAGTAAATGCACTAAAATAATTCAGTTGGATTGGTTTATTGGAAAACACCATATATATATATAGAGAGAGAGAGAGAGAGAGAGCGAGTATATACATATGCATATACTATATACACTATACAATATGCAGGGGTGTGTACATATGTGTGTGTGTGTACAAATATACGCACATATTTATGTAAAGGCATATACACATATGTATGTATGTATGTATATATATATATGGTCATATGTACATATATATATATATATATATATATATATATGTGTGTGTGTGCGTGTGTGTGTGTGTTTCTATATAATATGTATACATATATATATGTATATATATATATATATATATATATATATATATGCTCAGGTATTCATCCATCCATCCATCCATCTCACCCAGCCAGCCAGCCATCCTTCAATTCATCCATGCATCTGCACATACATGCATACACACACACACACACACACACGCACATGCATGCATACAAACATATGTATACACAAACATGAGTATACATATATACATGTATATATGTATGCATACTTACGTATATGCGTACACACATACGTACACACGTGTATATGATCACATTCACACACACACACATATATTATATGCATATCTTCATGTACGAACATATATATATATATATATATATGTATGCGTATATATATATATATGTTCATTTACAATCATACATGCATATATATATATATATGTATATATATATATATATATATGTATGTATTTGTTTATCCGTATACACATGGACATACGGGTACACATGTATACATATGTATATACACATGTATACAGGACAGGTTTATACACACACACACAGATACATGTGTGTGTATATACAGATATACACACATACATCTGGTTGTGCGTGTGTGCCGGGTTTTCTGAAGGCCCGACCTTTGTTCTGGGGGGGACACCATATTACGCAACGGGGACCGAGCCATGATACATATCTATAGTGAGTAATAGGTTTTCCGATTTCCTTTGTCTTAGGATTCAAATTAAGTCCTGTTCAATTGAGCTTCAGAAACACAGAAAGTAGAGACTCCAATAATTATATGAGTAAACCCCAACAGTGCGAGCCGGAATGTGAAGTTCGGGGACCCCAGAGGCGGAAAATCCCGACTTTCAAGAACCCCCAAACCACGATGTAAAAAGCCAAGATTTTGGGTTTAGGGTTTAGGGTAGCCTACATAAAGTTTTTGACGAACCTATAGACTGGAGACCTTGGTTATGGTAACTTTGAGTGAACCCCGACCCAGACTATAGGCAGCCCCAACAGAGCCCCTCAGCCCTAAGCTCTGAACTTTCAATTCAAGCCATCGACACCGCGAAAACAGAGCACCTCAACGAAATCACAATCGCCCAAGCTCACCCAGGATTCTGACCCAAGCAGTGCGGCCACCGGTGCCGAGCCTGAAAGATGTTGAAGAAGCGATGCGCTCGCAGGAGCACTTTTGAGCAGGGATTGAGGTTCACGCTTCTTTGGGCCAAGGTTACGGCACTAGGCAGTGAGCTAGAGCCTAATTAAAAGCCAACACCCAAACCAGCTGACAATACAGCGCCCCGAAAAGTACCAATACTATTCCTCAGGCCTCCTTGTCATTGTGACAGTTATGATATGATATCTATCCTACTCGAACTGTCAAGAGACCCCCAATCCTAGTATTCCCTCCACCCTCCCTATACTGCCATTCTAGTATGTACATACATACTTAGACTATATTATATGTATGCACATATACATTTAGACATATGTTACATATATGTACATACACATATGTCTGCATGTATGTGTGTGTATATATATATACACACAGAGGTGTATGCACACATAAACAAGCCTCAACTTTAAACCCTAAGTCCCGAACCCTAAACCCCCTAAACCCCCTAAATTTCAAAACCCCTAAACCCTAAACCCCCTAAAACCCCTCAATTTCTAAACCCCTAAACGCTAAACCCCTAAACTTTAGGCCCTTACCCCTCAACCCTAACGGCTAGGAGCATTTCGAGGGTGATGGCGCTGGCCGTTACTTTCAGCCTCCGGCCTTCGCTTTGCCTTTCGCACTGGGAGAAACCTCGTAGCCGAGTTAGTCGACTTTTATGGGGTTTTGGGTTTAGGGCATTTTGGGGGTTCATAGTTCTGAGGATTCAGCGTTCATAGTTCTTAGAGTTTTGGGGTTTATATATAGTTCTGAGGATTAAGGGTTCATGGTTCTTAGAGTTTCGGGTTCATAGTTCTGAGGATTTAGGGTTCATAGTTCTTAAATCTTGGTGGTTTGGGTTTGGGGTTCTTCATGAGTTAGTCGACTTTATGGGTTTGGGGTTCATAGTTCTTAGGGTTTAGGGCTCTTAGGGTTTTGGGGTGTGGGACTCTTATGGTTTAGGGTTCATAGTTCTTAGGGTTTAGGGTCCATGTTTCCTGAATATTAGAGTCTAGGGTTTAGGGTTCATCATGAGTTAGCCCACTTTATGGGTTTTGGCTTCATGGTTCTTGGGGTTTAGATCTCTTAGGGTTTAGGCTTCTTCGGGTTTGGGGTTTAGTTGTGGATTC